CCGCGAGCACGTTGGGGCCTAGGCGGAGGAGGGGAGGGGGTGCCACGGAGAGGGGGACGGGGGGCAGACGGAGGAGGGGAGGGGGTGTCCATGGCCCGTATCCACGTCTTGGGCGCCGCGCAGGCCAGTCTCTACGCATGTGCGCTCTCCATGTCGGGTGTCCGTGTTCGGAGCGGTCGGTATGTTTCTGTTGTGCTTGCACCTGCTCTGACGCCGTGACCGCGGGCGCCCCGGCGCGCGGCGTGTCGGGGAGCGAGATCCGAGAAATTGTTCTTGACCCAATTGGCACGCGCTGGGGAGTTGATCCAGTCTTTACGCCTATTGCGCGCCTGCTTGTTGATGTTCTCGGCGTCGCCCGCCACCGCCGCCATGGAGATCTGCTGCGTGTGGTGGACAACGAAGGAGGAGGCGCTCGCCGACGCCGCCCCGTACTCCGTCCGGTCCGTCTTGCTGCCCGCCGCCTCCTTGGCGAACACGTGGAGAAACTGCTTGGTGGGCGGTGCAATGCCACCCAAAGTCTCGACGAGCACCAGCCGCGTTATGGCTTTCTTGACCCACTTCGCGTCGTAGTACTGCGCCCCTGTACACGGATGACCCGGTCTTCATCGTTGTGGGCGTCCAACGCGCCCTGCGCGCCCTGCGGCTCTGGCGACGCCTCACGGATGAGATGGGCCTTGTCATGGCCATAGCCGAGAAGCGCTCTCTCGGGAGCTGGACTCTCTGGATCGGCGTCCTTCTGATTCCGGCACTCGGGATCGTCGTGGTCCCCCGCTCCAAGTTGCTGCGCGCCGCCCGGGCCATCGATGCCCTGCTCGCGAGCGGACTCGAGTTCCACGAGTACCGATCGCTGTGCGGCCTGCTGGAGCACCTCCGCGCGGTGAATCTGCGCGGGCGCAACGTGATGCACGGCCTCTACGTTCCCCACGGGCCGGACGGCGCCAGCCGAGACGGCCCCTCCGGGTGGGTGACCTGCGACCTGCTCATGCGAAAGCAGCTCGAGCGCTGGAATCGCCTGATCTGGAACTCGGGCGGTACCAGCGTAAGGGCCGCCCTCGAGCGCGAAGAGCTCGAGGACGAACCGGAGCTCTACCTCGTCCTCGACTCGGACGCCATGCGCGAGACCGGCGAGTCCGGGATTGGGGGCTACTTCTACGGGCTGTACTGGTACTACCCCGTCCCCGAGGATTTCCTGCCCGACCTGACCACTCCCGTGCTCGAGTTCCTCGGCGTTTGCCTCAACCTCCTTGTCTTTGCGCCCACGCTCCTCCGCGCGCTGAAGGCGAACCGCAATGCGTACGTGGTTCTGCGCACGGACGCCCTAGAGTCAGTAAAGCCGCTGCAAGGGCTGCGACCATCGTTGTAGAAACAGCCAGTCTGGACAACACGATCTCCACGCCACTCATCGCACGCACTGCATGACGCGCCATGCTGGCACTTGTCCAAATGAATGTTGGAACAGTAGCTCGGCACAGATCGATAGTGTATTCCGACTCGCGCCCCTCTGCCATGTTGATCATGCCAGAGGGACTTGGCACAAGCACCGGCATTGCATTCATAGCCGTAGGCTTCGAAGTCTCTGCATTGCGGGTTCGAATTCTTCTCAAGGCAGCCACGGCGGTCGGGAGGGAGAGGAGCGTCGGCCGCAGTGAGCCAAGTGAGCTTCGTTCCGCCGCCGTCGAACGACTGTTGCTTCGGCTCGTAGCAGTCGACAACCTCCACACTGGGCGGAGCCGTCGGGTCGTAATCGCAGCACCGCAGCATCTCAATGTCGTCGAGACCCGCGCCAGGATCCTGGGGATCGAAGGTCACTCGCAGCTTTATGTGGCCTTCCCCATCTTCCGAAGAGACAAACTGTTCGAGCTCTTTCGTGCCCGTGTGGTAAACTGAGAACTCTTTCGTGCCCATGTGGTCATCCGGGTTGCCAGCGGGATCCCTGTCCCACAATTCGACCTTGACCTTCGTCGCTCCGATCGGCTGTGCCCCGAAGTCCATGTCCTTGTTCCAAACGGGCTGATCCGTATTATCTTTGTGGTCCGTCTGCCGGGGTAAACCCCCGTTGACAGACACCTTCACGTAGGGATCCGTCTCCAAGCCGTCGCGATCGCCCGTCCCCTCCTCATTGCCGCCTTTGCCGCGCACGTCCCTGCCCGACACAACCGTTATCTTCAGGACGCCATGCGTCGGTTCGCCTCCGCCGCCACGGTAGATGCCCGTCAGCACCTTGTCGCCCGGACAGACGGCCCAATTCTCGTCGTTATTCCGGCATCCAGGGAAAGGCACCCGATCCTTGAAGGCACTGTCGCACCACACGAAATCGCTGCCCTCCGTACCGCGGTTTCCGGCACACTTGCCACCGGACCAGCTGGACTCCTTGCAGCACGCTGTGTTGTAATCCCAGTAGGCAATCGGGAAGTCACTCGGGCAGCTTCGAGATACGGCGCACCCCGCGAGTGGGGTAGCTCGACGTTGATGCAGTTGCTCATCCCCGCGCGCCTGACCCAGGCGCGAAAACGAATCTGCGAGGCGAGGCCGCTCACGCGGCCCGATGGGGAGGAGCGGGGCGAGCCCCCTCCAACCCACCCGCGCTAGGTCTCGGGTTTGACGCATGGGGTCACTCCCGCGAAACTCGGGAACTAGCCGGGGCAGTCGGAGAAGTGGCAACTCCGTGCACTGACGGTCGGCCGCCAGAAAACACGCCTCCGTGGCTCGGGTTACACCAATCCTCGCTACCCAACGCGGCCAAAGGATATCCACCTCGAGAACCTCGAGAGAGTTGCTCATCGAACCGGAGCCGTCCTTTGCGCCGCAGCAATCGACAGTCTCAATCAACGAGATGGGATCCGAATCGGTTCGCGAGTTTCGCCAGAGGCCGGACCTAACGAGGTTATGGAGAACCTCATCCAAACCCCTTTGGGGCGGCACACTGTGGGACATGCATGCGATTGTATTTCATGCATCTACGAATGTGGCACATGTACTGGTTGGAAGGGCAGCTAGCCCAGCCTCGAGTGTTAAACGACAGCAGGATGTCGACCTTATTGCAGGTGTGCTCGTCTGCGATGCGGCAGCATTTTGCCTCCTCAAGGCAGTAGAGCGACTTGCAGCCACCGACGCTGTTGAGGTACAAGCCCGCCATGCCGCACCCATCTTTGCACGTACTCCAGCCTTCGTTGTCGAACGAGATCCCCCAACCTCCCCCGCAGAGGTTTTGGTCGCAGGTCCTGCCGGGGGGAGACTCCACCGCGAAGCCAGCGGCAGGTCTCCACCGCGAAGCCAGCAGCATGACAAGAGAGCGCGACAGCAACGCTGCGCCAGAGGTGACTCGCACCATGGCACACCCACCTGCGAGCGGGGGGCGGGTGTCGTGATTCGCGAGCGGGGGACGAGTGTCGCGAACGGCAGTGGCGTGCGGCGCCGCGCGCTGGCGATGGCGCCGCGCTGTCTCGCACGCAGGGTGGTGCGCCGTCAATATTCAGGAGTGGTCTGTGCTGATGCGCAGCGGCGCGCGGTTGCCGCGCGCGGCGTGCCGCTGGCGCACCGCTGCTCGGGAAGAACGAGACTAGGCTCGCGATCGGCCCTGGAGTGACTCCTCGGTCCTCGGCGTTGTGACTCCTCGGTCCTCGGCGAGTTCGATGCCGCGGCCTTTCAATTTCGGCGGGGAATTTCAGCGCTTTTAGATTTCCCCCCCCCCGCCGCACCATCACGCGGTGCTCAGATTTGTGCCTCGTCCTGTGCCCCCGAGTTCATTTTAACAGGTTTCTCCCAGCCCTACCTCTACCTGGCCATCCGGTGTATGGGATACTCGAGTAGGATAATGGATGGAATTTTACACATGTCCTCACCACCCGCCACTCCGCTCGCACCCCTCTCCTCGGCATCGCCCTCCCGCCTGTCCCCACCGGCCCTCGACACCCCGGAGGAGGCGCGGGAGAGAGCCGTGTCCGGGACATGTCCGAGACATGTCCGAGACATGCCCCGTAGGTCGACTTTGTTGAGCGCTACCGCGAGCTCGTCGCAACCAAGGACAGGGCAAAGGCCGGGAGGGCAGCGGGAGGGAGGGCAACTGGAGGGAGGGCAAAGGAAGGGTAGTCGTCCATGCGCCTCGCCCCCCCCGGCCGGCCGGCCGCAGAGCAGCCCCCGCGCGTCGCCCCGCATCCAAGGCCGCTCGATTTGGCCGCCTTCCGTCCCCCCCCCCCCCCCCATCTTCTGGATTAACTTCCTACGTACATTGATATGTTTTTGTCTGTCTGACTGCGATCCCCCTCCCCTGCCCACCCACAACCCGCACCACCACCAGAGACACTCAGACACACTCACACGCACCGCAACTCCATCTCCACTGCCCCCCACGGCAACGACTCGAGTTCAAAGGAACGAGACACAAACAACACGTGTCCACACATACAACCTCTTCTCCGGTGTTACCTGTTAGTACCGGGGGACCAGGGGGCGGCGCGGCGGTATTCCCCTATTCGCAAAGTCCAATAAAGAGGAGCCCCGCGCACGCACGACTCCGCAAGAGAAGCCCCTCCCTCAGAGCTTTTCCCGCCCGTGCTTGCGCAGTACCGCGTCTATATACTCTAGTCTCTACGGCTCGGGGGTCGCGGGCTGTAACACCGGCGCGGGGCAGCGAGCCGGCCGGCGGGCCGGCCGTCCTGGGCTTGGGCGGGGGGCCTTGGCCTTAATGTGGTGCGTTGGTGCAGCAGAAAAAAAACTGAAACGAAAGAGACTGAGCAGGGTGCAGTCTGGTGTGTCTGCAGAGGCTGGCCGCGGTGCCAAGGCCGATGAGGCGCGATGAGCCGCGCAAACGATATCGTGTATGGATCGTTGTAAAGACTGTAACATCTCCCTGAGATGATGGGCAAGCACTGACATATCTCTGCCGCTACTGCCACACAAACGCCGGCGCGCTCATCGTAGGCCAGACTCCAAAGTCGTGAAACAAGGCCTCAAGCGCCGCGGCTCGCAGCGGCGACGCCCCGCCGCCGCCGCCTCCGTCAGGGACGACGCCGAGGGCCTCCGCATGAATCCCGCCCGCCACGAAGAGGGAGTCGACGCCTGCCGCACGGGCGCCGGCCACGTCGTGCAGCAGCGAGTCGCCGACGTGCAGCACGCGCGAGGGCGGCACGCCAAGGCTGGCGAGGGCGGCCTCGAACGCCGCGGGGTGAGGCTTGCCGTAATAGAGCACCGAGCCGCCGAGCGCCTGTTCGCGGCTAGCCGCGTGAAGAGGGCCCCCACAAGACCAAGCAGAGACCCGCCGGGCGCGCCTCGTAGGCGCGCGCCACGACGCCCGGCATGTGCCCGCTCGAGCCTGTTCAATGGAGAACAGCGGTTCATCGCCGATATCGCGCCACGACCCCGGGCGTCCGCTCGCGCCGTCGGGCAGCGTGACGGAGAGGTCGGGGTTAGCGCACACCATCGGCAGCCCTCGCGCCGCGCAGGTGCGGAGAGCGGCCGCCAGCGCGTCGTTGGGCGCTCCCGTGCGCATCACCTCAGCCGGGGAGATTCCAGATGGTGACTCATGCGGCGGGGACTCTCTCCCCCACTGCACCCACCTCTCTCCCGGGAGCTTCTCCACCCCTCTCCGGTGCGTTGAGGCGTGCGTCCGAGAGAGCTGTCTCGCCTCGGTCGGGGTGGCGCGCGAGCCGTCGCGGAGCGTCTGAGAGCCCTGCAGGAAGACAAAGTCTGCGGTGGCGGCGTCGGCGAGGCGCAAGTCGAGGCCGTCGAGGTAGTGCGGGTCCCACGCCTGCTCGCAGCTCGCAGTGGAGAGGGAGAGGGAGCGAGGGAGAGGGAGCGAGAGGGAGCGAGAGCGAGAGTAGGTGGCTTTTTGGCGCCTGGAACTGCTCATCCCACCCAATCCAAAGCATGCGCTGCCCTGCGCGCGACGCGAGGTGCTCACGGGCCTGCTCTCCGGAGCACACAAAGTCAGCCAGCTTCGCGGCGTCAAAGCCCAGCGTGGGCAGCTTCGACAGGGCGTGGGCACGCCGCCGAGAGGTGTTGGAGAGGACGGCCATCTGGACTCCTGCGGCGGAGAGCCGGTCGTAGCAGTCCACCGCTCCCGGAAGTGCTTCGGCGCCGTTGTGCAGGACGCCGAACTGGTCGAGGAGGATTGCGTCGTACCGATCTGCTACCGCCGAGAGGCCGGGGATGACGGTGACCTCTCCGTGCCGCGCTGAGCTGGCGAGCGGAGCAGCGGTCCTTGCGACAAGGCGTAGCGCGCTGGATTGCGTAGTGGCGAGAGCCGCGGCGAGCAGTAAACGGGCCATGCAGAATCAGCGCGACATCATCGCCGAGAGAGGCCGAAAAGCAACGGGCAGGGCGGCGAGGCGTCCTCGGCCCTACTCTCCTGCATGCGGCGGTGTGAGCAGCCCCTTCACGCCTGCAGCTGTGAACAGGCGTTTGTGGACGCGAGCGGCGCCATCGCGCAGGGGCCGTCGCTTGTGGGAGGGCAAGTTGGCGGCGGCGGCGGCAAGGCGCGGAGGCGGCGGCAGGTCGTTGGTTGCGACCCCGGCACCTCCTTCAACCCCGAGACGCGCCGCTGCGAGGCGGGCGCCGGCAGGTGACCGAGGGCGGAGAGGGCGAGGGCGAGGCAGCTGTGTCCGCAGACAGTGTCCAGGAGACGCCCAGAGCTCAAGCCCTTGGTCAGGCGGCGGTGTCCTCTCGGCACTCGGGGTGGCGCACCCTTCTCTGTGCGCAACATCTCTTTGAGTCTGCTCGTTTGCTTGGCCTACCTACGTACCGTTCACCTTTAGCTCGTGTGTATGCCGTCGTCTAAGGTAAGTGCAGGAGTGTCGTAGCACGTCGATCTCCCCATCCGATATCTCACAGCTCACGCTCCGTCCTCCGATAATGGGCGATCACGATCTCCCATCTCAAGCTCCGACACGCCCTCCTCTCTCTCAAGCTTCCTTGCCCTCTCTTCTGATAGCCTCTCCTTCGCAAACATCGAGCTCATTGATTCAAACCCGCTGGGCGCCTGCTCTCCCTGTTGGGTTGGCAGGAAGCACGAGGGCAGCTCGGACAGCGGGGGGTCTGGCTTGCGGCGAAAGGGCGGCTTGCAAAGGCTCCAGTGGAAGGTGTAGTCGAGGCTGTCGCGAGGGCGGCAGCAGAGGACGGCGGCGAGGTGGGCCCTCAAGACGCGGCTGAAGGGGAAGAAGAAGAGGGCATAGACAGGAATGACCAAGCAGAAGATCCGTCCACATACAGCACGTGGACCCTCTGCTGTCATCAGCTTGTTGCCAAATCTCACAAGCCCGCTCTTTTGCTCCTCATCATACTCCTCGAGCTTCTCGCGCAGGGCGAGGTACATGCCGCACACCCTCTCGCGATCAGCCCGGCCGATGAAGCGCGTCGACTCGGCCTCGAAGAGCGCCTCCATGTGCCGCACGCTTGGCAGCCGCCCGCGCGTCACACGCACACGGCCGACGCCGAGCTCGTACGCGTGCCCGCCCCCTTCCGTCATCAGCAGCGCGCACGCCGTCTCAAACGTGCACCATCCCGAGCGGCACTCATTGCCCGCGTAAGGGACGAGGTCGGGACGGTCGGCGGGGGCGACACCGCCAAGCGCCTCGCGCAGCTCGTGCTCACGCTCCGCCGGCATCCGCTTCTGCTGCAGCACGAGCACGCGAGGGCTTGCGTAGATGTTCTGCATCACGCCGAGCCCGCCGCCGAACGTTGTGCGATCCGCGTCGCTGCGCTCCGCGCCCGTGACGGGGTCCTTTTGCGGGAGCGCTGCAAAGTCCCACACGAGCGCCGTGTGCGTCGTCGCATGGTCGCCCTCGCGAAAGTACGCGAGCACAAGGTCGAGGTGGAAGCCATTTGGATCGGAATGCAGTGCGCCAATCCATCGATACGAGAGCGCCGCCACCTTGCCCTCGCGCAGGACGCGGACGGCGTCGTCGGGGTTCCAAAAGGCGTCGGGCGGCAGGTCCTGGCAGCGCTGCAGGACGTAGTCGGCGGGCCGCTCGAGCAGCCAGGCGACGCGCAGCAGCCGGAGGGAGCCGTCGGCGAGGCGCTCGGGCATGTCGCCCTCGATGGCGGCGATGCGAGCGCGGAGTCTCTTGCGACGGTCGAGGTGGCCCCAAGGTGCGAAGATGAAGACGAGCGATATAAATATGCTGAACGTGATGAAGAGTGCCGGGTCGTAGTCGCACTGCTCCAGCACAAGCCATGAGAAGCCCACCGGGGAGATGACGAGGATGGCGGGGATGCCGAGGGCAAGAGCGGGCAGGTAGAGCGCGAGGAAGAGCTTGGGCTGCAATGCCGTGGGCAAGAGCCAGGCCAAACCTCCAAAGATGAGGGCCGGCACACCGGTGGCCCCGAAGAGAGTGCCCCACGTCTCCTCCGCTGCACCGCAATCGGCCGGTGGCAGCGGCGAGGGCGGATCGGGGGGCGGCGGCAGCGGGGCGCGCCCCGGTGGCCACGGCGGCGGTGCGGGCGGTGCGGGCGGTGCGGGCGGGGAGAGAGAGGCCAGTGTCACATCGTTGTCCGTCCAGGAGCCGTCGCATGTAACCCGCCAAGTAGCTGTGCCTAGCGGCGGCGAGGAGGAGTCATCCGAGTCGATGCGGGCCATGTAGCTACATTTCCCGTCGCCATCGAGGTCGCTGGAGGCAGTAGTGCTCGGTGGAACACCACTTCTCACGATCCAGCGGGCGGGAGCGGAGCCGCCGTCGCAGGACGGGTCCCAGTAGATGTAGTACGACGACGAGGCCTCGCGGAAGTACGGCGCTCCCGAGAAGGTGTAGCCGACCGCGACATACTCGACGTTGTCGAGGATAGAGCTTTGCGGAGCGCAACCTCCGGTGATCATGAGCGGCGGCGGGAGCGGTGGAGGAGGCGAGGGCGGCAGCGATGGCGGTGACGGCGACAATGCACATGCCGGCGGGAGCAGCGCGACGAGAAGTAGCCACGCGCCGTGCCTCGCCTCTGTCCAGCACCGCACGAGGCGCCCCGAGTTCCTCCTCCGCACCGAGGCCGCACCGAAGCGCGGCAGCCACATCCACTCGCTCAGCAGCACGCCGCACACACCGAGCGGCAGGAGGAACGAGGCGGCCCAAAGCTGACCGCCCTGCTGGGTGCGGCCAGGCGCGGAGTGTACGTTCACGAAGAGAAATTGGAACGGGGAGGGCAGGTCGATGGAGAGCTCGTGGGCCGGCGGCTTGTCGGTCTTGTAGAGCTCGTCGGTGAGCGCGCGGTGAGGCTCCACCACCGGCGGGTAGGACGCAGAAGAGACGGTGAGAGTCCCATCGGTCCAGCCTGGCGCTGACCACATGGTTCCGGTCCACCCATGTACCATTTCGAGGGTGCAGGTGCCCGGCGGCACCGCGTGCATCGCCTCGTTGGGAGCCCCGCCCGTGATGTTGTCGGAGAGGCCGTCGCAGGCGAGCGACCAGGAGACGTCCTCTGGGTAGTCTCTGCCGCTCACCACCATTGGCGACGGAGGCAGCTGCGGCGGCAGCGATGGTGGAAAGGGCGGCCGCGATGACGGTGGCGACGGCGAGAACGATGGCGGCGACGGCAGCGAGAGCGGCGAGAGCGGCTGCGGCGAGTGTCGCGGCCCCAGCAGCGGCAGAGGAGCCACTGTCGTGATGCCGATGATCGGCGGCAGGAACTTGAGCGTGGTCGAGCGGCCCGTGCTGAGCACCGCGAGGAACGCGAAGAAGCTGCTGAGCAGGTGGAGGCGGCCGGTGGCGACGGCCGTAGAAAGTTTAGATTCCTGCATTGAAGCTGCTTTGAGGCAGGGAGGGGCAGAAAAGGCTCGGTAAGGGAGAGAGTAAGCGTCTCGTGACACGATTGGGGCGCGGCGCGCAGTCGCGAATTCTTTTTTCGCGTGAATCGTCCTTTGCGACCGCGTGTGTGTGTGTGCGTGTGTGCGACCGCCTGAGCCGCTATTCTTTTGACTGATTGGTAGGAAGGCGAAACACAGTCCGACCAACGACTGGGACAGAGGTAAGGTAAACGTCTCCTCACACACGATGTGTGCGGGGGGGCAATCAATGGGGGGCGGGGGGCGTGTGGACTGCTCCACGCTCACGCTTCTCGCTCTCATGCCTCCTTCGGCGGCCGGCTGGCCGGGTCACGCCTCACGCCAATGTCGTGGTCGTAGACCTCCCTCCTGCCTCCCAGCTCCGCGGTGGCGCCCTGCGCGCGCGCGAGCTTGCGCAGCAAGTACTCGAGGCCCGTGGTTGGCGGGTAGTGCGGCTGCTCGCCCTCGGGCACGAAGCGCGGGTCGACGTTCACCGGCGCGGCCTTATCAGCGTCGTAGAAGCACGCAATCGAGTAACGGTCGGCCTCCGCGTCCGCCGCCACGACGAGCGGATAGTGGTTGAAGCGGCATGCGCACAGGTCCATCTTGTCCATCGATCGCGTAAAGTAGTCCCGCTCGAGCCCTAGGGCGAGAGCGAGGGCGAGGCTGAAGCGCCGTGCGGCCCTCTCCAGCACGCGCCACAGCTCGAGCGCGACGGCCTCGGTGCCCTCCGGTGTGCCATCAAAGCGGTTGGTGTGCTCGCGCGGGTTGCGCACGTTAAACATCTCGCGCAGGTCGGGCGGGCGGGAGTGGTTGGCCTTCTCAAGGGCGAGCGGCGCGTAACCCACATTCGAGGCCGGCGAGATGCGCGCGAGGCTCGTCATCTTGACTTCCGTCGAGGACCACGCCCTCATCCGCCATTTAAAGGGCGAGAGGTCCACGGTGGGCGGCACCAGCGCGCCTCTGCCACGAGCCGTCGGCGCGTCGGTTCTCTCCTCGACCTGGCACACCTCCAGCGGCGATGCCTGCCCTCCGGCGATGCTGGCGATGCTGGCGATGCCTTGGCTTGCTGAGCGGGACCGGCCCGTCCGCGTCAATTTGCGGCGTCGGCACACGCGGGTGGCGCACCCAGCGACGCGACGGTCCTGGGTTGTCGGGCACAGCGAGTGAGGCGTTGCTCCAGACCCACACACCTGCCACAGTGCGCGGCCCAGGTCTCCGTGTGTGTGTGTGTGTGTGTGTGTGTGTGTGTGTGCGCTATGGGCGTGTCCACGTTGGAGCCAGGTGTGGTGTGGACGCGAGAGTCGTGCGCGAGAGAATAGCTCCGCCGTTCATGGAGGCAACCGATGCTCCGATGGCGATGCGAGTCGACTGGTGTGTGTCGTCGTGGTTTCGTATACTCACTCACTCACTCACTCACTCACTCACTCACTCACTCACTGTCACTCACTCACACGCGAGCCCTGACTCCAGCCAGTCTCTTTCTTTTTTTGAGCAAGTGTGCCGCTGCGCGGCGCGTGCGCGGAGACTGGCCGCGTGCGTGCGCGCGGCGGTGTGTGTGTGTGTGTGTGTGTGTGCGTGGCCCCGAGACAGCGCGAGATCGCCCGAGATTGCGCGGCGCGACCCGAGATCGCCCTTGGGTTGTCTGTTTTCTTTCTTTTTCAAACAGGAGAGAGAACGACGAGAGTGGGACGACCGCGAGGTGGCATGAAGGTTGCAGCGAGAATCGGCGAGGGACTGCGAAGAGAGACAGGACGAGGCAGACGCCCAAGGGCCCAAGGGTGGGCGACGGCTAGCACCACACTCCCATCCCTCCCCTGGGTTATCTGTTTTCTTTCTTTCTATATAGGCTGCAACCTACGGGGCGGCATCTTTTCTTCTGGGCGGGGATCCCATCCATCCGGGCGTATCAGGCTATCTCTCCGACACGCGCGGCTACCTGGTCTGAGCGGCACTGACATACCATGCAAGCCACCATGCTGAGCCTTCTTCCGGCCGACTCTTACACACCTCCTTCTCTTTCTGTGTGCCACACGGACTTCGTCACTTGTCGGCGTGTGCGGTGAGAGACTCTGATCGACGTCCGCCCACCGCCGTCCGGAGGTCCGGGGTGTGCTCTGTGGCACTCCATTTGCATACTCGACATAAATAAATACAGCCAACAATTTTCTACAGCTCCGGCCTATTCTACCTCGTCCTTCGCCGCTGCGTGACCACTCGTGGGGGGGCGCTTGAGCCACTCCCGGTTGGGCCCGGCGGCCGGCGGCACCGCGAGCGACTCGTTCGTCCACGCCCACACCTGCCACATGGCGCGGCCGAGGTCAGTGTAGGCCTCGCGGCCGTGCGCCGTCAGGAAGTTGTCCACCACCACACACTCGCCCTCCTCGAGCCGGAAGCGAGCCGCCTCGGCGGTCTCGGCGGCCACAGCGCGGAGAAAATGCATCACGGTCTGCATGTCGAAGTCCGGCCTCAACGATGTCGGCAGCGGGCGCACGGGCGGCGCTTCCTCGGTCTCGAGAGCCGCCAGCAGGGCGTCGGCGTCGGAGAAGGAGGAGATTCGGATCGCCGGCCTTTGGCCGGCGATAGGATTTGGAACGACGAACCGCTCGACGCGATCGGTCGGTGCTGGCGCCGCGTGTTCCGACTGCTGTGCCTGCGTGCGATCGGTGCTGTTGTCGCTGAGCCGGTCGTAATCCGGCGGCAGTTGGATGCGTTGCACGATCGAGAGGCGATCGATGTGCTTCCGGTGCTCTGCAGGCATGCGGCGGACGGCGGCGCGCAGGCTCGTGAGGAATGACTCACCACCCGGAGACGGCCTGCGCGCACAGAGCATAAAGAAGTCTGGCGCCTCGTACGGCTCAACGCGATACTGCACGATGGTGTCAACGTGCGCAGGTCGCGCCTCCAGATTGGTGATCGGTGTGCCTCCTTTGAACCCAAAGTTGTTGGTGCCAACGTGCACCGGCGCCTGAACTGCGAGCAACGCCTCACCAAACACACGAAAGGAAGCGTCCGAGACGCCCGCTGCGCTCATGTCAACGCCGGTGAGTATGGAGGCGCCTTGCTCCCGTGCGAGCTCAAAGGCCTTGCCGGGGTCGCTTGTGCGCTCCGGGAGGCCGGATGGTGCGAGAGAGCGAGGCTGCAGGCCCCTGCTCGGAACAGCCCGTTTGCTGCACACGACCAGCACGGCGACGACCGCCACGATGGAAGACGTCCAGCAAATGGGCCGCATACTCGTTGTCTCCGCGTCTAGTAGACGCTAGAGCGCTGGCCCCGTGGATTTGGCCGTGCTGCCGTGCTCAAGCCCATGTACCCCACCTCGCCGTGCTCAAGCCCATGTACCCCCACCTCGCCGTGCTCAAGCCCATGTACCCCCACCTCTCCCGGCCTGGCTGCTCTGTTCACACCTCGCAAGAGCACTTGAGCACTTGAGCACTGGATAGGGTCGATTCCGCATGCTCACCAGAGGACTATTCGTGTTAGTGCCAGTGCGCGCCAGTCCCGCCGTGTGTTTTTTCAAGTTTTAGAGAGAGAGATTTAAGTAATAAGATCCAAACAACACACTCCCTCAATAACCAACAAGAAATCTTTTTACGTATTACAATGCCACGCCCCCTCATAAATGAATTCAAAACCCCGTGCTTTCCAGCGGCGCGCTCCGCGCGTGCTCTGCAGCAGTGCTACTGCATCTTCCGCAGCTCCAGCAGGTAGGTATCAGCAGTGAGTTCGCCGCCAGTTATCTGCGCCTCCGTTCGTCACTCTCGTGCTTGATCGTCAGGCCGTGCTCTCACGTCCGCCGGAGCTACCTCGGCTATCGCACCATATTTTACAAGTTTGACCGCCGACATGTCGCGGTCCGGCTCAGTGAAGGCAATGTCGCTCGCCGCTCGCTGGCTCCGTGGAAGCTTGTGCTGCTGAGCAATCCAGGCGCACTTTGGCAGCCGGCGGCAGCGACTTGCGGCGTCAGCATTCGAACGGTTGTGTTGATTTGCTCTTGCTCCGCGGTATCTAGCCGGCGCGCTCCGCGCGGGTGTCCAGCTAGCGCGCTCCGCGCGTATGTCCAGGTCACCAGCGCGCTCCGCGCGCATCTCAGTTCCTATGCTTATAGCCACTAAAAGCTCGTTTCTGCAGCTTGGCGAGCACCGGGGTCGAATCGGCGGGCGCGACCTCCTTCATGATGCCGGTAAAGTTGAGCTGTGTGAATGCTGAGTGAAGAATACTTTTTCGGGCCTTTCACCACCCGGAAGATTTCTTCTTCACCACCCGCAAAAATCCGGCCGGTCGGCCCACAGCCACACGACGGGACAACGGCAGGACCCCAGATACCAACCAGAAATCTGCTTGTAAAAAATCGCGGAAAAGAGCAACCAGATACCTATCTGGCACCGTTTTTGCACTATCTGCAGATAGTGAAAAGCACCTAGATACCGGTAAACCCCAGCCTTGCGCCTGGGGAGCTGCAGCTGGACAGAGGTCGGAGAGCCGCGGGAGAGGGGAGGCGGATCAGGAGCACAGAAGAGGAAGGTGTGGGAAGTGAGGCACACACGAAGCTTGTTCTTGTCCATTTCAGTAAACGAACTTAACGAGATCGGATACCCGTATGAGATGAGACTCGAGAGCGTGCGTGAGCCGTGAGGTACATCTACAAATCTAGACCGGACGCGGGACCATCCACATCATCACTGGCTCGCGGCAATACGGGCACTCTTGCATCAGCTCAGAGCATGGCCCGCAAGCGCACAAGTGTCCGCACGGGACCGCAGCATGCGACTTGACTCTCGCGAAACACACGATGCACGTGGTCTCGCCCCCCATCGTGGACTCGGGGGCAGCCGGCCGCCCCGTGTCGAGGCCGGCGTCCGCTAGTGAGACGGCAGCAAGCGGCTCAGTGACTGGCAGATGCTGCTCCGCCGCCTCTCCCGCCTCTGGCCCGATCAAGCGCTCGATCGCGCTGACCCGCTCCTCGAGGCCACCCTCGATCGCCGCGCCCAAGCTGGCCTCCAGCCGCTGGACACGCTGCATCAGGTCCCCGCCGCCGCCGGTCGACTCGCTGCTCACCGCCTCCTCGCACCGCGACACCTGACGCGCCAGCGCCTCCTCCTCCGCATCTCTCTCTGACCGGCGCAGCGCCTCTGCCAGCTCTGCAGCCTCGCGCAGCGCCGCCTGCTCCGCCGCACCCGCTAGCTCCGCCGCCTCCCGCTCCGCCCGCCTCGCAGCCTCTTGCTCAGCAGCCAGCTGCGCCGCCCTCTCCTCCTGTGCGCGAGCCTCTGCCGCAGCCTTCGCCCTCCGCTCCTCCTCGAGCTTGAAGGCAGGCGGCGCCTTCTTGGCCTTATTGTTCTTCTCCTTGGCCTCCTTCTTGGCTGCAGTTGCCTCCGCCGCCTTTGCGCGCCGCCTCGCCTTCTCCTCCTCCGCCCTCCTGTTGGCGGCCTCCTTCTCGCGCCGCTCCGCCTCCGCCTGAGCGGCTTTGCGCGCCGCCGCCGCCACCCGCTGCTCCGCAAGCTGCGCCTCCTCTGCTGCTCGCCTCTCCGCCTCCCTCGCCCGCAGCGTCTCCTCTGCTGCCGCTCGCTCAGCAGCCAGCTTCGCCTCCGCCTCCGCCGCAATCGCTCGCCTCTGCTCCTCGAGCGCCGCCCCATCCGCCGCCCGGCGCGCCTCGCGCGCCTCTCGCTCTGCTTCGCGCCGGCGCGCAGCCTGCTCGCGCTCTCGCGCCGCCACCGCCTCCTCCCGCTCGCGCTGCTCGCGCCGCCCCTTGGCCTCGAGCGCCTTCTCTGCCGCCTTCTTTGCCGCCTCCGCCTCCCTCAGTGCCGCTGCGTGCTCCGTGAGAGCGCGCACGCACCCGGCGTGGTCCGTTTCAGGAGCACTGGCGTCGTCAGTAGCCAGCTTGGCCGCGTCCTTGGCGTATTGCAGCGCGGACTTGCCATCCGCAGAGCGTGCCTTTGTGTCTGCGCCCGCCTGCAGTAGACAGCGCACGACGGGGAGGTGGCCGTTGCCGGCGGCGCACATCAGTGCGTTCTCACCATCGTTGTCCTGCGCATTGATCTCCGCGCCGTGCCGTAGCAGCAAGTCGACCACCAGCTCGTGGCCGTTGAGGGCGGCGCGCGTCAGTGCGGTGCCACCGTCATTACATCGCATCTCTGCATCAGCGCCATGCCGCCGCAGCAGCTCGACCAAGCGAATGTGGCCTTGGGCGGCGGCCCACATCAGCGCGGTCCAGCCGCCGCTGTCCTGCTCGTTGGCCTCCGCGCCGTGCTGCAGCAGCACCTCGACCACCCGCTCGTGGCCTTCGAGGGCGGCGTCCATCAGCAGCGTTACGCCAGTAGTCACCTCGCCATCCTCGCCCCGACGCTCGCGGGTGGCGTTCGCTCGCCCGCCACCCTCAAGCCACACACGCACCGCCACTTCGTCACCTCGACAAACCGCCGCTACGTGGTCAGCCATCTCAGCCATCTCGCGCGAGAGCGGCGGCGAGGAGGGGCGGCACGGCGGGGTGTGGGGGCGCGTGGCCATGTTTTTTCCAGGAGGATGCGTGAATTCTTTTTTACGATTCTCGAAGAGGAGCGATTTTTTTGAGTCAATGCCCGTTATTGTTACCGACCGTTACGCATCATCAACGGGCCCACTCCCAGCTGCGGGCGGGGTACAGGCCGCGCCCGGTCACACACACGGCAATGCACCGCCGCACCGCTTCCATGAGAAGCATCATTGCACTAGTGCTTCTCGCATGCGACGTGGCTGCTTTGCCCACCCTCCCCGGCGCCAGCATTGACCAGAGGCCCGCGCGAGAGACCACATTCGCGCCGCTCCCGGGTCTCGCACCCACCGACGAGCGGCTGCTAGGGGGGGATGCGAACAATGCTGCACAGGCCGCCCCGTCGAGGTGCTACTTGCTGATCGCCCTTTCTTCTCTGGCGAGTAAGGTAAGGTACCTCGAGGTAAGGTAAGGTAAACTTCTCCACACACACGAGGTGGTGGGGCAAGGGGGGGCAACCCTCGCGTCTCCACGTCTAACGACAGGAGCCCCACGGCATTTAAAGTGCAAGGCCCGGTGCGCGTGGGTGAGCGGTGTGTGTGTGTGTGTGTGTGTGTGTGTGTGTGTGTGTGTGTGTGTGTGTGTGTGTGTGTGTGTGTGTGTGTGTGTGTGTGTGTGTGTGTGTGTGTGTGTGTGTGTGTGTGTGTGTGTGTGTATGTGTGTGTGTGTGTCACGTCACTGCATCCTCCGCCGGTTCCTCCCGTCGCCTCTTCTTTGTTCGAATGTTTTTCAATCCATCCTTCACGAAGCCCTCCCATGTAGCTAGCGTTCTTTGCGAATGTCTCGAAATGGCCAGCAGGCGCTGTCTGCTCGTGGTCTGTGCGGGCCGCTCGTCCTCCTCGCCCTTCTTTCGTCTTCCCGTCCCTCCCCTCCACCATGGCCTTCTCTCGGCACTTCTTTCTCCATCCGCCTTGCCCTGCCTTTTCGTATCGTGCCGTTCGCCCTCCATTCGGTGACCTCCATGGCTGTCCGCCTCCTTTTGGGTGGCGCTCTCGATACGGTTGCGTCAACCTCGACGTCGCTGTCGCCCTCCCCGTCCCCCTCGCACAGCAGCCGCAGCTGTTGACCGTCCCGATCGGGATGGGCTGCCTCAAGCCAGCAGTAGCTCACGGCGACGATGGGGAGGAGGTTGTCGACGTTGCGCCTGGTCCGGAAGAGGCTGCCCACAAGTGCGAAGAGCCCGCCGCCCTGGGCAGCTTCTATCACTCGTCTCTCGAATCCGGCCCAGTCTGGCGTGCGCTTGGCGCCGGCCTCAATCTGCCTCAGGCGGGAAGCGCTGACGAATGCCTCCTCGGGAAGGTCCTGCCGCCGCTGCAGCACGCCGCCCTTGTCAGCAAGCGCCATGAGCCACGCGAGGCTGAGAAGCCGCACGTCGCCCGCCCGGACCTTATCGCCATCACCCTCGAGCGCCGCCCAGATCGATGCGGGCTCGCGGTAGCGGGTAGCATCCTCGTGAGCCTCACAGATGGATGCCCCGCGCGGACGAGCGACGGGCTGCGGAGCGGGGGACACGGGGCGGGACACGGAGGGCGGCGCTCGTCGGCCGCGGCCGGGGATGCCACACAGCGCGCGACGCGCTTCGAAGACGACCCGAAGCGCCGGTGTCAAGATGCAAAGCCCGAGGGCACAGTAGAGAGAAAGAAACAGAGCGAGCGGCAGATCGACGAAGAGAATCATCAAGAGGACCAGCGGGAACGTACGGCGCCAGCGGAGCCACGCGCGTGGCAAACCGACTGCAGCATCGGAGCTGCCAAGCCCAAGGGCGATGGGCGGTGCGAGGACCACCACGAACAGAACAGCCCACACCGGAAAAGTGCAGATTCCGGCGCCAAGCAACGCCAGCAGCTGCAAAAGGTGCACGGCCGCAGGTCCGACGCGGCTCTGCGCGGCGCGCCGCCGCGCATTCATCCTGGCCTGTCAGGGCTGCAGGCGCAAAAGATCGACTCCACGCACGCCGTAACGGTTGCAACGGCTTACGGCCCAGCGAGGGTGAACCTTCTTTTCTAGACCGGAAGGATTGAGAGCAGCCTCGCTCTCAATCCTAGAAGTCGAAGGATTGTGAGCAGCACTCCTCGCAATCGTAGCATCTCTGTGCGATTGCTAGCACCCACGCTCGCAATCCTACATCTTCTAGGACTAAGAGCAGCTCCGCTCCCAAGGTGACTGGTGACGCCTACGACTACTACCAGCGCGCTCGCAATCCGAGCAAAGTCTAGGATTGCGAGCAGCACTGCTCGCAATCCTAGCAACATGCCTCCGATTGCGAGCAGTAGCGCTCGCAATCCTACATCTTGTAGGACTATGAGCGGCGGCGCTCACAATCGTACCCAAGATCCGAGGATTGCTAGCAGCTGCACATATTCCCTCGATTCCCTCGCCTGTATCCCCTCCGCTGCGTCGTCCCAGATTATATGCTCATCCTCTGTGCGCGTTCGTCGCTCCCTTCCCTCGTCTCCATCGTTGTCGCCTCTGAGGAGAGGTCGTAGGTGCGATGCGAAAGTGGTAAGTGCTCCCCCTCTAGCTCTACGGCTCTAGCAAGAGAGAAGAGACCGACAATAAGAGTCGCTTGTGCGCCCAATCTTTTTCTTCATGTCGACGCGTCCGCCTCTACCCTGCGGCGCAGCACCGCCATAAACGTGGCGAGCGCGTCCGCGCGCCCACTCTCGCCGAGGTAGCCCTCGCCACGGGGGCGGGAGCTTGCGAAACCGAGTCGGGTCCACAGCATCGCGGGCCAAACGCCGCACATCGCGCGGCGCATACTCGCCCGCTGCGCCCGCGAGATGCTTGCGAGGATGGTGTGCAGCCGGGGCAGGTCCGTTTCGTGCACGCGCAGCGAGCAGGAGTCCCACGGCACCACCTCTTCGAAAGGCCGCGCCTAGTACCATACCTCCAGAGGATCGAACCCAGTTTGGGTTCAGCCCCGTGGGTGGTGCGGTGGCTATTCGACGGGCCGCGCCTCGTCCGCCAGGCTGAAGACAGGTATGCAGCCGTAGAGCAGCGCCTGTGCACATGTCTCGAACCTGTCATGGACGTGTCCTGCTTGGATGTACGTGTCCGATGCAGCCGAGAGCAGCGCCGGCAGGAAGCGGTCCGAGTCCCCCTCGTTCGTGCCTAGTACCACACCTCCAGAGGATCGAACCCAGTTCAGTCCCGTGGGTGGGTGTGGCAGCGTTCGCGCCGAGGGGCGAGAGGCAGAACTCAGAGTCGGCCATCGCTGCTGGGAACCAGTCTGCTCGGCTGCTCCGGTTTGGCAGCAGGGCGTCGCTGGCGGCCGAAACCCGCCGGCTGGACGTTCTCTGCTGAGGAGCGAGGTGTGAACAGATGCTCTTCACACCTCCAGCGGTGAAAAGGCGGTGCTGCGGCGTGAAGAGCGAGGTGTGAACAGCGGCTCTTCACACCTCATGCGCCGAATCGATCAGCACGAATCGCTCGCGTGCGTGGTGATGGCGAAAGACGTCGCCGCGCGGGCCGCCCTTTGGGATGCGCCTGTTCAGTGTTGTTCGTCGAGTTTTGCGGGGAGATGTGGGGAGATGCGGGGAGGTGTGGGGAGATGCGGGGAGATGTGGGGAGATGCGGGGAGATGTGGGGAGATGTGGCGAGATGTGGCGAGATGTGGGAGATGTGGGGGGATGTGGGGAGATGTGGCGAGATGTGGCGAGATATGGGCGCCCGGCGAAGAAGAGCTCTATGCGGCGCGGCGCGGAGAGCCACGCGCCGCTTGCGGCGGCCGAGGCGCACGCTCCCTCACGGGATGACCTCTGCGCGGGCATTCGGCCGTCGTACCACGGCGAGTGGCGTCGCAGCGCCGCGAGGCGCGCCTTCGGTGGCAGCCGGTGCAGCCCACAGAAAGGACCGCACTCATGCATCTCGTGCGAAGGCAGCCGGACATCGAGGCCCGGCGCAAAGACATTCCAACGGCCAGGGTCGCCGTTGTACGTGACGAAGCCGAGGCTCCTCCGCGAGGGGGAGCTGAACGGCATCGCCGCGCCCGGGAGGCCGTTCGCAGTGTCGGGCACACCGGTAAAGACGGCGCGATTCCGCTTCCACATGCAGTCGCCCGGCCCGTGGTCGCACGGCATGAGGATGAGGTGCCTGCGTGACGTCGCGTTCCAGTACGGGTAGGCGGCGGCCACCTTGTTGAGCAGGGTGGCGACGCGCTCCGAAGACTTTGTGGCCGAGCGGTAGTTCGAGAGGAAAAAGAAGTCGGCGCATGCACCGTCGGTGACACGGTACTCAGACTTGCGCAGCGCGAGCCACAGCCAGTTAAGTCGCGCCGAGTCGGCCGCCTGCCACGGCGGCGTGCCGATGCACTCAGGGTAGAGGTAGAGCCGCGGCCGCGGCAAGCTGGCGCAGTCCTGCTTCGGCGCTGCTCTCACAGAGCACGGCATGGTCGGCGGGCGCATTTTTTTGCAACACACTTCTCAGGAAGAAATATCACCGCGCTGCCTGCCCGCGCGCGATACACACAGGAGTCAACCCACGTCTCTCACCGAAGAGGCCCGACACCGGCACCAAAGAAAGTGACAAATCAAACAAAGTGAACAGAGGCACAGTCACGCGGGCTAACTCGAACGGGAGCACAGTGCTCGTTTCCCTACCTAACTAACTGAAGTACGGAACCCCGACTCCCACCGGGAGGAGAAAGCCGAGGAAGGGAGGTGGAGAGAGAGAGACAGAGAGAGACAGGCTCTCGAGCGCGCGGGGTGTGGGCGGGCGCGGCGCGGGGACGTCAGCACGGCACACGGGCCGCCCGGCGCAGAGCGGCGCACGCGCGGCACGCACAGTCACACGCAGGCAGTCCGCCGGGAAGGTGTGTGACGCGGCTCAGTCAAGGCGGCGGCCACTCTCACGGCTCGGCCGGCTTTCGCCAGAGCGCCTTGACCGACTCGGTCAGCCCCGGGCCGCGCAGGTTGAGGTTGAGAAGGCCAAGGAAGGTTAGGCCTGGGCAGGGTGCTCGCACAATCAGTGAGTGCGCACACAAAACCGAAAGGACGCGTACTGAGGACGGGCACGGGTGAGAGTGCCTGTCACGGGCACGAGCGCCATGCGCAGCGCGGTGTCAAACCACTTGGCCTTGGTGATCCAGTGTGCGTAGTCGGAGATGATCATGTTGGCATTGCAGTGGGCGTGCACCTGCAGCAGTAGGAGACGTGCCCGCTCACGGCGCGGGCTCACAGTGGCCCCTGCAGCCTCGCAAGGTCGCAGCGAGCGAGCAGTGTGCATGGCTCGCACCGGGATGAGGACACCCATCGCCAAGTCCAGTGGCATCGCCAGCATCGATGGTGAAAGCACGAGCGCGACGGGGCACATGTACATGTAAACGATCGGCATAAACATGCGGTGGTTGATGTGTGTCGCCCACGTGTTGTGGTCGGGGGCGAGCCACTCGGGATTGTGTGCTCCGCCGGCGCGCGGCGCGGACGCCCTGAAGCAGCGCGCGTGGACTCGACCGAGCATTCGTGTTACGTCCCGCGCCACCCTTGAGTGAAGGGTGCCCATGAGGTATCGAGCGAAAAGAATTTTAGCGAAGAATTATTAGCTCACTCCCTCGCAGATAGGAAGAGGCAGACTCCCTAGGGTGGGCGACGGATAGCGCACCACACACCTCTCCTTAAAATCCCTGTGTGGTGGCGGCGTGCCGTCCTCCCATCCCTCCCTTGGGTTGTCTGTTTTCTTTCTTTCTTTTACTCCCTCGCACAACACTGGGCACGGGACTGGCTCGCACTGGCACTAACACAGGTACACCACGGGAGCCGCCTAAGCGACTCCTGCGAGAGTGGCGAGGCACTTAGCTCCGTGCACCCGCCCACCCCCGCCACAGGCAAGCTCATTCACAACCTGCTCTGCGAAAAGAATTTTAAACCGCCTCGCGCGACTAGGCACGGGACTGGCGCGCACTGGCACTAACACAGGTACACCACGGGAGCCGCCTAAGCGACTCCTGCGAGGACGGCGAGAAAGCATTTTTTATTTCGTGGTACGTAGAATTTTCTCCGAAGCTAACACAGCTCACAGGCACGGGACCAGGGGACTGTCCAAGATCCTGCTCGTGCAGGTGGGGACCCTGTCCTTCTCGCACCCTCTTTGGATTTATTTTAGGCACGGGACTGGCGCGCACTCCTGGGGTCCTGGCACTAACACACAGGTACACACCATGTAATACAGGTGCCGGCTTCGGTTTCGCAACAGCTTCGTTTTCACAACACGGCCACCTCGAGCCGCCGCGCCGTCGTGCAAATCGTGCCCGAGCCGTCCACATTTGACAATGTGCCCGAAGCGCAGGGAGTCGAATGGGTGCCGCACTGCAAGCGAGCACTGCGGCGATGCGCCACGGCGGCGAAGCATGTCTGGACTTCAAGGACAGCGCTTCTCCGCTGCTCGAGGCTTGCGGCAAGGTCCAGGCCGACCACACGGAGCACCCGAGGCAGCTGGCGTGGCCTCACTCATCACATGGCCTGAGAGAGCCCGCGCCGTGAGTTCGACGCGGTCGGGAGGCCTTGCAGAGTGGCCAGCGAGGTGGCGATCGCTGTACTTCATGGCGCCCTCAGAGTGGGGCTGGCTGACATGTGACAAGCCAGAGGTCGATACTCTGGACGACCCATAGGATGCCACGAATGCCTGAAGGAGAGGGAGGCGAGGCCAGAGGCAGACTCAGCTGCTCTCGGGTGATCTCGCTTTGGTGGCTGAAGGACCCGATGGTCCTGTCACGTTCGTGTTCCGCGCGAGTCGTGGGGGTAGATAAGATTGCGGGGGGGGGTCGAGTCAACGCTTCCTTGTAGTTCAGCGGACCGCCAGAGGGGTCGCATGGCTGAGAGAGGCAGAGGTAGCAGGCGGGTGGTGCTGGTGGGACTGGCGCTAAACGATCTTCACGATGGTGTGGTGCGACGGTGTGTGGTGAGAGGCAGGGCGGTAGAGACGATGCGCGGAGAGAAGACAGTGAGTAAGTGCGGCGGAATGTGAAAACGAGAGCGTGCACGTGAAAGTGCTTGCCACGGACCAAAATCTCTACCAACAAGAGTGGAGCGACGGCATTAAATATTCTGTAAAAAGGGCGAGGCGGATGGAGAAAGAAGTGCCGAGAAGGCCATGGTGGAGGGGAGGGACGGGAGGACGAAAGAAGGGCGAGGAGGACGAGCGGCCCGCACAGACCGCGAGCAGACAGCGCCTGCTGGCCATTTCGAGACATTCGCAAAGAACGCTAGCTACATGGGAGGGCTTCGTGAAGGATGGATTGAAACACATATCATTCGAACAAAGAAGAGGCGACGGGAGGAACCGGCGGAGGATGCAGTGACGTGAGACACACACACACACACACACACACACACACACACACACACACACACACACACACACACACACACACACACACACACACACACACACACACACCACCGCTCACCCACGCGCACTGGGCCTTGCAGTTGCACTTTGAATGCCGTGGGGCTCCTGTCGTCAGACGTGGAGACGCGAGGGTTGCCCCCCCTTGCCCCACCACCTCGTGTGTGTGGAGAAGTTTGCCTTACCTTTCCTTACCTTCTGTAAAAAATATTCTCGCCCCCCCTTTTGCCCTTGCGCCTTGGCCTTGCGCCTTGGAGCTTGGTTGCCCTCTCATATTATGATGACTCGGCCGCTCTCTTCCACACGGCGCCAGCCTCGCCCCCACGCGCGCACGAGCGAGGTCGACATGGGAAGCAAGCTAACCTGCATCACCGCTAGCGCATGCCCCAGCTGCGGCCCGTGCTTCGTCTCGAGCGCCTCTAGTAGTGCCGCCTGGCCCGTGAGACCGATCGGATTCCACATGGCGGTCACGCGAAATCCCTGACCCGCGGCCGGGAGGGCAGCCGCGACAGCCATCGCGCCCTCGTCACCCACGTCGCAGAACGTCAAGACCAGCGCATGGGACGGCTTGCCCGTCGCCAGCGCCGTAGCTAGCGCCGCGGCTCCCTCATCTCCAATAGGCGTGAAACCGACGGCGAGTGTCTGCAGAGTCGGCGCCACGCCGCGATGAAACACGCCGCAGAGCGCGCCGACGCCGCGCGCGCCGTAGCGGTTTGACGCTACGATGAGGGACTCAAGCGCCGGGAGCGCGCCATCCTCGAGCCCTGCTGCAAGCTCCGCCACGCCCTCGTCGTCGAGGCGCGCCCCTCCTAAGCCGAGGTACCGGAGGCTCTCGCAATAGTTCAGCGCCTCCGCCAACAGCGCCGGGCTAGTCCACGCGTCGCCACGCACGATCGGCAAACCCCTGTAGTCGAGCTTCTCGACGGTGCCCAGCACTGCCTTCGCCGTCTTCTCGTAGAGCGTCAGCACGGTCGACGAGTCCGCGCCGTTGGTGAAGCGGCAAGCGGCGAGCAGCTTCGCCATGCGCTCCGGAGTCGCGGGGAGCCGCCGCTGAGCGCCGCCGTCGTCGCTGGCGACGTCGATGACGAGCTTCCACTTGGCAAAGCCCAAACAGGCGGGCTTTGCGCCCAGCTCTGCGGAGCACCGCTCGAATGTCGTCCAGCCGCGAGCGTCGTAGGTCCGGCTTCGGTCAAAGCCGGCGGGCAGCTCGTCGGGCAGCTGCGTGAGCAGCACGACAGTGACCGAGGCGTGCGTGTACCAGAGGTCCTAATGCAGAATGCAAAACCAATGTGCCGTGAGAGCGGTGCATGTTGTGGTATGGCGCTAACCTATCAGGGGAAGGGGCGAGGGGTCGGCGTGTGCTCACCATCGTGTTCTCCAGCATGCGACCGAAGGCGGCCTTCTCCTCGCCCGACCGGCTCTCCTCGTACGCGCGCCGCTCGGCGACCATCCGCTCTCCGCCCTCCATTTCTCTCAGCTCTCCGCTCCCCCTCAAGGTCAGCGCCCCGTCCGGCAGCGCCTCGTACTGATGCCTGGCCGTATGACTGTCGCGGCGTGGGAGATCCAACAGACTGTTACCCCGCGATAGTCGGCCGCGGAGGAGCGCCTGTATCTTCACGGCTGCTGCCTCCACAGCCGCCGACATCCACTCCCGCCACTGCGCCGGGTCCTTCTGGTAGCCCGAGCACCAGTCCAGAAACACGCCCTGCGCGAGCCAGGAAGGCAGTGGCGGTGAGGAAGGGAGTGGCGATAGGCAAGGCGCGGGAGGCAGCTCACCATGTCCGAGAAGCCGTACTCGCGGCACGCGCCGAGCAGGCCGCGCCCGCCGTAGAGGCCCCGCAGCTTGCGGCAGAGCAGCTGGAGCTGGCGGCCCTCTCGATCCGGATGCGCCGCCTCGAGCCAGCAGTAGGAGACGGAGACGATGGGAAGCAGCCCGTCGGGGTTGCGCTTGCGGCCGAAAAAGCCCATGAAAAACCCGAGAAAGGATGAGGGGGAGGGCTCCTTGATGAAGCGCTCAAAGGCCTCCCCAGAGCCGGCGGAGTTGAAGCCGAGCCTGGCGCTTTGCTCGATCCGCCTCAGCTGAGCAGAGCTTAAGAACGCCTCCTCTGGAAGGTCCTGCCGCCGCGGGAGCACGCCGCCCCGCTCTGCCAGCGCCAAGAGCCAGTTCAGACTGATCAGCCGCACATCTCCCGGCCGGACCATGTCGCCGTCGCCCTCGAGGGCAGCCCAGATGGAGGCGTGCTCGTGGTAGCGGGCGCCGTCGTTGGAATTTGCGCGCGACCGTTCACGAGCGTGAAGACCGGACTCGGCGTCGGGGGACGTCAGCTGGCGGTAGGGAAGCCGTGAGGCGTGGCAGCGGCTGTAGACGGCGAGGATGAGGGGGTTTCGGAGGAACAGAAGCTCGAAGAGTGCTATCACTAAGAAAAATAAGACGGCGATTGGCAGGTCGACAAAGAGCATCGTCGGAATCAGGTATGGAAGGCGACGCCAGGCGAGGAGGGCGGGAGGGATGCCGACAGCGCTGTCGGAGCTGCAGAGGCCGAGCGCGATCATTGGCGAGAAAGCGAGAACGGCGAACGGAAAGACAGTCAATAAAATTGCTGGCCAGACCAGGACGGATACGAGGGCAACGCACGAGCGCAGCAGTCGGGTGGCCATCGTAGAGTTCGGCAAAAGGCGGCGGAGTTTTGGACGAGCTTCGCCGCCACAGGCGAAAAGAATTTTACAACGAAAGCTGCTTTGCTTTCGCCCGCGTTTTACGACAAGTTTCGGTTTATCATAGCCGCCGAACTTTACCTCGCTGTTTCTTTATAGGCGTCTCGCAGCTGCGTATTCTTGTATTCTCGTGTTATCGTCGCGTAGTACGGGGCGGTGCGTATTCTCGTATCACTAGCTGGTGTCGTGTCCACTAGCTCCGAGTAGAGGGGGTGCGGTCTGCTGCTAGGGGGGCCCAAGGAAGCGCGAGGGAAAAATTCCGCCGCTGAGGGAAACCCGGAGCGCTGCCGTACGCCCTCGGAGACCCGTGTTATGGCCCTGCGACCGCGCACCCCCCCACGGTCGAGGAAGAGGGCAGCGTCCTGCAGTTAAGGGGAAACCTGGTACGCGGGGCTAACCCTCGGAGACGTGTTATGGCCCTGCGACCGCGCACCCCCGGGGCTAGGGCTCTCTAGCCCGTAACCCGATGCCGAGCGTCCGGCCAACTGGGTGCGCTTCTTAGCTCCCCGGTCCTGGACGTGAGGTTAATGACCGCACTCCAAGTGCTCCAAGTGCTCCAAAAGCCTTTCGCACACGCACGATTCACACGACAGACAAGGCGCAGGCGACGGCTTCCTTAGAAGCCGTCGCCCTCGCCATAAAGGAAGTCGTCCTCAGGCAGATGATCGAATCCGCCAACACCGTAGTGCTCGCCGACACAACCAAAAAACAACTCTCACAACCATCATCCCCATCATCGAAAAGAATTTTAGCATCAGCGGCGGTGGAGGGGCCGACGTGACGATCGTAACGCTCTCTGAGTTTGGCCGCACCATCTCCTCCATCCATCCAACGGCCGCGGCACCGACCACGCGTGGGGGCGGCACCATCTGATGTACTGGGCTGGGTTTTTAGGCATTGTGGGGTTGGCACTCCCATCGACCCTCATGACCTCCTGCGGTCTCTGAGATGGACACCAGTGGGTGTGGGGCCACAGCCAGGATACACTCGAAGGCTGGGTAAGCAGTAGAGGTCGATACTCGACGCGTCCCACATGGTCTGTGTCGCTGTCGGCACGCTGTCGACAGGACGTCGAGCGACACCGGTGGCAGTGCCACCCAGGAGTGGTCGGGCGGTCTCCCGTCATGAGAGAGCCACCATGTGATCCGTATGATGGTTCCTGACAACCGCCTCAGTCAACTTTCGTCACAGTTCCCGCTCTGAGAGGAGCTGAGGGTCAGTTCGACAGCTGGAGCTGTGTCGCCGGCGTGCGGCGGCCTGCCTCCGGAGGTGCCTCTGAGGTGGACATTTCTTGGTCACCGTGAGAGAACGCGTTCGAATTTTTACTCCGGAACTTCAACTGAGCACGCGCACCGGCCAGGGCTACAATAGTGCCAGTGAGGCGGAGGCGCGAGTCGGAAGGCCGCGACCGTCAAGTGTTTTCGTCATTTTCCTACAATCGCTGTGAACCCAGCCACGTACGGCGGGGCGATATGTGTCCTGGCTGGCCAAAGTGACGGGCGGCGGCGCGAATGCAGCTGACCGCCAGGCGTTTCTGTGGAATTCTGATCTAGTGCCAGTGCGCGCCAGTCCCGTGCCATGCGGAATCGACCCTATCCAGTGCTCAATTCCTCATGAGGGAGTTTTGTTGTACGTACTTTTAGCTTACTTACTGGCTGGGAAAGGGAGAGGGGGTTGTGTTCTCTAGGTCCCTAACTAAGGGCCCTACGCGCGGCGTGAGAGCTCGGAAGCGAGCTTTGCACGGCGATCAAGGATGGCGCGGTTCACCCCCCCCTAACCGGCGGCCCGCCATGTGCCCCGGCCGGTTGGCAGGCCGACGGGACGGACGAGGGCACACGACAGTCACAGAAAAAACTAAAGAACATATAAAAATTCTGATTGAACCGACAAGCCGGTCAAGCCTCTGCCCTCTCCTCTCACACCAGCATGAATCCATGAACCCATCCGCATCCCTCTGGTTTTGGGTGTTTTGCACAGTGTTTTCTCTTTGGATGACGCCGTCTTTCTTATTCTTTGAGTCGTGCCACCGCGCAGAGGAGTTTGTAACCTCATCTCCCGACATTCCCTCGGAAATGCCCGCTTGTTCACACCCCCATAGGGCCTATTAGGCTATGGGATAGGGCGATAAGGGGGGTCTCACTCCCCCGCTGGTCAGAACGCCAGGTTTGCGCCTTGTTGACGTGTTTGAGTATGTGCGTGTGGAGTGTGTGTGTTTTGTGCGGGTCGGCGCAGCCAGGGCGGGGGTTGGTGTGTCGGTCAAGAAATTTACCTTACCGCTTACCCCCTAGAGACGTGCCTTCTCGCACCTCCAGCCGCCGCCCTCCTTCGCAGCCCGTCTCGCCGTAGTCCTGCTGGACCGTCAGCACGGGCGCGAGGCGCGAGTTGATCTCCTCGACGCTCATCTCCCGGAACCGGCTCGCGGCGCGTTGCAGCGCCGAGGCGGTGGGGAACTGGACGTCGCCCCACTTCGGCGTGGGCGTCTCGTTGAAGGTGACGCCCTCCGACCAGCTCTTCATGTCGTGCATCCAGTCCACGTTCCGCCCCGCCTGGTTCTTCGCCACGATGAGCCCGTCCCTCGCCACCTCGACGAACGCGTCGGCGTCGGGATGCGTCGTCAACATCCACTCGCGAATGAAGCGGAAGACGCAGTCCAGCGCGGCCGTCGTGGCCCTGCCCTCTTGCCCCGCCACCTCCTGCATGCAGCCTTGGTACTCCTCGGCAGCGCGGGCGGTAGGCTGGTCGCGAGGGGGCGCGGGGAAGCGCGCCGCAGCCTTGTGGCGCTCGTACTTGCCGTTGACGCGCTGCACCCAGCTCGCAAATGTCACCTACCCCACACAGCCGGCCCTCGCGCGGGCACGCACCCCGCGCCGATCTCGCGCCGATCTCGCGTCCGATCTCGCGGGATCTCGCCTCCCGCACGGCGACGCCCTCGAGCAGCGGCGACGGCGGCCGCCGCAGCAGCGCCGCCGGCGCGGGGCGGAAGAAGAAGGTCGCAGCCACCCGCGCGGCAGAGGCGTGCGCGCTGGGCTCGGCGACCACTCGGTGGCGGGCGGCGCGGTAGCGCCCTCCGGTGATGCGGTCGAGCAGCGCGCCCACCTACGTGATGGAGTGCGACCACTGCTTATCAGGTCCGGAGCTCCACGCATGCTCTTGAGTCTCCTAATGATCCCTAGCTCTCGCCGAAGGCTGAAGAAAAATCGCACCGTACTCCGATCTCACACACCGAAAGGTGAGCAATGAGGCGAGCGACTGTGAGAGATCGGTGTGAGGCTGCGGATAGGACGTTGACTGCTTAGGATGTGACTGCCAGCCCTCTGCCGAGATCGGACACCCCCCGCCTGGGGTGTGTGGCAGCCCAGCTGGCTGAGTCTGTTGTGTCATGTGTGTCTGTGTGTCTCTGTGTGTCGCTCGCGCGTGTCGTCGTCTTCTGACCCGCGTCCCCACCCCCACACCGCGTTGGTGTCCAGTCCCTGACTGTTCTTCGCCTTTCTATCAATCAATCCTCGTGTGCAACGCCCCCGTGTGTGCTCCGCGCGTGCGTGTGAGAGAGCCCGCATCTAGAGCCCCCCACCAGCACCGTCGCCACGCCGTGCCCGTGCTCCGGCACCTGTTCGCAGCTAGTGGTGTGAAGAGGCGCTGTTCACACCACGCAGTGCCCGTGCTCCGGCACCTGTTCGCAGCTAGTGGTGTGAAGAGGCGCTGTTCACACCACGCCGTGTCCGTGCTCCGGCACCGGCTCCCACGCCGCCGCCGCCCCGCCCGCCGCGCCCCCGACCATGCACTCGAGCCCCAGCCCGCCTACGTGCTAGACACGTGTTCCCCTTCCTCCAAAGTATCGAACCCAATGTGTGGGTTCGTTCCCGTGGGTGGTGTGGTAGCAACGTTGTGCGGAGTCTTCAGAGCGCCGCGTGAGTACACGGGCTGCGAATACAATGCAAGCCCATGCTGTCCTTTGCACCTGGTGCTACAGAGGGCTGCCAACTCCTTCTCTCCCCGCGGGAGGGAGCCCACATCTCCCCAGATCTCCCCAGATCTCCCCAGATCTCCCCATATCGCGGGAGGGAGCCCATCGCGGAAGAGAAGCCGTGGGCTGAATGCAATGTGCACACACAGCTGGCGGAGGCGGAAGTCGGCTGAGTCCGTGTCAGCTCGAGCGCAAGTTGGAATGCAGCAATGCGGTTCTAGATCAGCCCGCCCGGCTGCCGGCTATCTCCCCATATCTCCCCCTATCTCCCCGTATGGCGCTTCTAGGCCAGCCCGCCCGGCTGCCGGCTATCTCCCCATATCTCCCCCTATCTCCCCGTATGGCGCTTCTAGGCCAGCCCGCCCGGCTGCCGGCTATCTCCCCATATCTCCCCCTATCTCCCCATATGGCGCTTCTAGGCCAGCCCGCCCGGCTGCCGGCCGGGCGCGTCGTGGAGGACGAGCCTACGCGTCCCATACCTCCAGAGTCTCGAACCCAGTGTGTGGGTTCAGTCCCGTGGGTGGTGGGGTAGCAACGGTGAGCCAACGTGCTGCATACACCGACATGCGGGGGCGGGGAGGACGGTCTTGTGCGGTGTAGTCGGAGCACCGCGCGAGTAGGCGCGACACAAGTACGGCCGGATACGGCGGAGTGCGAGTGCCGGCGCGAGAGTGGGTTGGAGCACAAGAGCCTGTCTTCCGCTTCTAGGAGGACGCGCGAGAGGAGGGAGGGGTCGGAGTGCACCTGAGGGGGGCGCGAGGGCAACTCATCGCTGTACTCGCCGCTCTACCCCCCCTCACATGTACATGTGCTATGGGGCCCGAGTATTGGTGACGTCCCTATTCACAGCAGTGTGAAGGTAGGGGCTCCTGGATGTCTTCTCTCCGCGTGTTTCTTTTCCCCAGGGGGAGTGTGCGTAACCCCCAGTATGGACTGGTGGTGCGCAGACGCACTCTACTGCTGAGGAGTGTGTGTGTGTGTGTGTCTGGAGGGGGGGTTCACACCATGTGGTGGGGTCCCACCCCCAGAGTGGGTTCTGTTTCCAGGAGCTCTGTTCCTGGAGCGCGCGCGCGTCCCAGTATGGGTTGCAGTATGGAGTGGTGCCGCGTGACGGAATCGCCATCTCCTTATGTCATCCGCCCTTGGGGAGGGAGGGGGTGAGTACTGATCACGCAGCTGTACCCCCCCTCCCCCCCATCTGTGCACGGTGTAACCCATCCTTTGGCAGGGCCGGCCTCACATCTCCCCATATCTCCCCATATCTCCCCAATATCTCCCCATATCTCCCCGCAGGGCTGGCCTCACCGGCAGCATCACCCGCCTTCCGTCTGCGGTCGTGGCGTGCGGCGGCGCAGCCTCGGGGCAGTAGCGCTTGAGGTGCCACTGCGAGTGGTCCGCCAAAGGGCCAAAGCACGCCTAAAGAGGGACGCACGATTGGCTTCACCACTCGTTCCTAGGGGTTTCCCCTCCCACAGCGCACGGGGTAAGGTAAGGTAAGGTAAGGTACACTTCTCCACACACACACGAGGTGGTGGGGCAAGGGCCAGGCAACCCTCGCGTCTCCACGTCTAACGACAGGAGCCCCACGGCATTCAAAGTGCAAGGCCTGGTGCGCGTGGGTGAGCGGTGTGTGTGTGTGTGTGTGTGTGTGTGTGTGTGTGTGTGTGTGTGTGTGTGTGTGTGTGTGCACAGGGCCAAAGGACGCCTCGAACCAGCCGGCGGGCAACTGCATCTGACGCTCGAGAGCGGCGAAGAGAGAGCGGGCAGCCGCCGAGGCCTCGGAGGTTGATCAATGGAGAGTGAATGAAGAGTCAGTTTACAAAGAGTTGATGGTGGTTGCGTGCTGTGTGTCCAGCAGTCCGGACCCGGTGCTACGGCCGGTGACAGTGTGCCTCGTGTCGGCTCCCGAGCCAATCGTGTGCAGCGTGTGTGTGTGTGCGTGTGGGCCCGTCCTCCATGCTTGGAGGTGTGTAAGACTGACTGACTGACTGGTGGTGGTTGAAGGTGGAGAGTTTGAGTCAGCCAGTCAGGCCAGTGTGTGTGCGTGTGACACGCGTCAGCACGGACGACGGGGCACACGCGCACTCGCGGAGCACACACGGGGGCATGGCACACGAGGCGGTGTGTGCGATCTCAGGGAGAGGCGTCACCGCAGACAGAAGTGCAATCGTCGCCGGCTCAAACTCGGGCACGCCGTCCACGCCGTAGCTGTCGCCGTTGCTAAAGACGAAGCCCTCGCGGCACGCGTTGTAGCTGCTCAGCGCGCCAGCCCGGTGCGAGCCGCTCGCGTTTGCGGAATCGGTGGTGCGCCCCCTACGTGCTGAACACGCGCCGGCATCGGGGCGGGGAGGCGGTCTTGTGCAGAGTCTTCAGAGCGCCGCGTGAAGACGAGGGAGCGAAGACACAGCTGAACCCGTGTCCTCTCGAGCGCAAGTTGGAATGCAAGAATACGCATTCCGCTTCTAGGCTGTCGTGCCCGAGCGGCGGCGGCCCTGCCTCCAATCCATCAAAGGCGAGACGCGCCGCCGCAAAGGCTCTCGCTGCGGCCTCCGACGCGGCAGCACTCACCGGAAGCGAGGCGAAGCCTCGGCACTCGAGGTCGGTGGCGGCGAGGTCCGCGAAGGCAGCGGCGTCGGCGGCGTCGGCGGCGGCGGCGGTGGCAGTGACAGTGGCGTCGGTGGCGGCGTCTGCGTCAGGTGCGGCGGCGGCGGCACTGTCTGTGTCGTCGTGCTGCGGCGAGAGCAGTGCCGCGGCGAGTTCTCCGCTGAAGCGGCCAATGCATCCTCCCGGCGCGTCAAAGCATGGCGGGCCTGGCGCACTCCACTGCTGCGCACCCGCGGGCAGCGCACTCTGCAGGTACGACTGCATGCATTCCGCGCACGCGACGTGGCCGCAGCCGGCGGCGGCGCTGCTTGGTCCGGCGGAGCCTGGCGGGAGAGCAGCGGAGAAGAGCGCGCTCTGCGGCTGCGGGTCGAGGCATATCAAGCAGTATGTGTCATTCGACTCCACTCCGAGGCGGGCCTTGCCGCCACGAGCTTTGGGCATCGACTTCTGCGCTGGAGCTGGCGAGCTGCCACGCCTGCTATTCACAGCACAAGCCCTCGCCGGGGGCTCGAGCATGCGCAGCGAAAAGCCAGACGGATCCCCCCCTGTGAAAAAGAGAGGCGTGGTCTGTACTCACCAGGCGCTGGAGACGGCAACAGCACTGAAAAAGAAGTTTGGTGTGGTTTGGTGTCATGTTGTGTGTGCCTTCGCTTGTTCCTATTAACAACGAAGTCTAGCTCAAAAAAGAAGTTAAGAAAAGGAATTTTACAAAAAGGCGGTCGCACGACACGATTCCCCTTCCCCTTCAAGGGCGAGGACACGCGCAGGGGCCGCACCTCTAGCGAAGCCCACAGAGTGGGAGACTCCTATCACCGCCCTGCCACCCACGTGAGCCTTTTGGCCGCCTCTGTCAGTGTGCCCGTGGTAGTGAGAGACTGCTGGTGAGAAGCCGGAGGAAGGTCGCTAGTCGAGAGAGATCGCCAGTGGAATAGGGAGTCCACCGTGCTGCGAGCCTGTCGCTGTCCCTTGTCAGGAGCAGGAGAACTAGGAGAGCGCAACCAGTAGGAGGCCCGCGCCTGCCCCCGTGCCGCCGGGTGCAACCTGTCCTATACGAGAGAGGAACCCCTGGGACCTACTATTGTGCGAGCTACTCTAGGCCTTCGAAAATTCTTTTGCGAGAGCCTTTTGTTGTGAAATTCTTTTTCAGTCCGCCTCGGCCTCCCGCTCGATGTTGCCTGCCAGGCGGTGGAGGCGGGCAAGAAGGCGCCAAACGGCAAGCCGCACGAAGAACTCGGCGATGCCGCAATGGTCAACCCGCGTGCGAAGCACGCGACACGACACAAATACCTGCTCAAACGACTCGTCAAGACCCTTCGCTCGGCGTGGGGCATGCTCATCGAGATGGAGCCGACTGCACACCTCAGTTACAGTAACCCAAAACAACCTGACGTGGCGGCGGCGAACATCGGCAAAGGGCATGTGCGCCTCGTTGGCGACTTGAAACTGACGAGCTCGCTTGCGTGCAAGGGTGGCGATCGGCTCGGCTGGAAGGGGGCTTTTGTCGCCTTCGGCAACACCGAGCGGGCGCTGCTCGACTTAGTGTTAGGGCATGCTGCATGGCCGCGGCCGGGAGGGGGGGGGGAGGGGGGGAGGGAGGCGGAGGATGCAGAGGCGGAGGCGGCGGCGGCGGAAGAGGAGGAGGGGGAGAGTGAGGGGGAGGCGGAGGCGGGGGCACCTGTGACGGCCCGCTACGAGAAGGGCGAGTACCGGTTCGCGCGGGAGAAGAATTGCGACCTGCGTTTGCTCGACTTCGAGACGTTCGGCGGCTTCGAAAGGCATCTCTAGCAGCGTCGTTACGCATGCGCCCTCCCCTCCTGGGCGCATACGCCTCACGTCTCGACAGAGCGTAAGCCCTTGGCGTGTGACGAGACGAGTTCTTCGCCATCGCAGCGAGCAGCACCCCACTCGCCGCAGCAGCCGGAGGCATCGCCGCAGCACTGTCTGCGCCGCAGTCCCGCACCCGTCGACGAAGCTCCCCCCGCGGAAGACCGCGCGTAGCGACGCCTTGACGATCGAGATGAGCGCGCTTGAAGCTCGCCCACCTACTGCCCCTGAGAGTTGGTTACCGAGTGGGATCAGCTCCCCCCCTTGGGATCGAAGCCGCCACACCTCGCACCCAACATCCCAGGCGGGATCAGAGAGAGACTCCGCACCGGACACCGCCCGGGCACAGACCCCCTACCCGTCGGACTACGCCTGGACCCCTCACAGAGCAGCCCACGCACAGGTCACGCATCGGCAGATTTGACACCTGGTTCAGGCGTAGACAGCACACACTGGTCACAGTTGCATAGCCCTGCCGGGGGGGACGAGTTCGCAAGGTTAATATTACTCTCTCTCTCTCTCTCTCTCTCTCTCTCTCTCCCCCCGTCTCTGCTGAGAGAGAGAGAGAGAGAGAGAGAGCTCTCTCTCTCTCTCTCTCGTCTCTGCTCTATTGCTGTTTACCTCGTCTTAAAATAAGTACCCGACGGTACACACACAATTGCCGCAAGCGCCTGGTTTGCAGCCGCGATTCATGTTCTGCACCTTCACGAGCGTCCTCGCCGCGGCGACCGCGCGCCAGAGCGTCTCAAGCCCAACAGTCCGCGTCGTCGGCTCTCCTCCTCCCGGATCTTGCATGCAAGCCGGCGGCGGGTGGCGAGCGAACGACGCAGTCGCGGACACTTAACCAAGGATTCTGTCAAGACCGAGGCGCCGCCGGATGCGGCGTCCGCCCCTCTCACGATTCTTGAGGCGTCTATCGGCCTCCGCGCCCCGCTCGGCCCGCCAACGACCAAGCCGGCGGACGGCGGGCGAGCGGCAGCGCCCCAGCACCTCCTCTTTCTCCAGAGCGACCGGGCCGTCGATGCACGCCTGACGGCCGCGCTGGGGCAATTTGCGTGTCCCGCAGAGCTCCGCTCGACCCGGATCTCCCACTCGAACGCGGTCGAGTCCGATCTCTTCTCCGTCTCAAGCGGGTGCGCCGACTGGCAGCGCGCCTGCGCCTCCTTTGCCCGCGCGAACTCCTCGCTGCTCGAGGTCGGGCAGGGCGAGCTGAAGCGGGCGGATCAGGCGCTTGGCGACCAGCACTGCACTTCCCACGCCGCTGCATCGGCTGCCAAACCGTCACCCCTCTGGCTATGCCCACCCGCAGCCGCTGCCCGGTTTGCCTGCCCTGTCTGCCCTGCATCAACACTCGCTCCTTTGGCCCCTCCAGGTGCGCACCCGCCACCCGGCCACGGCGGAACGGCAATTTTCGCTCGAGTCCGAGGAGCCACCAGGCTGCTGGGCCGCCTCTGGCAAGGCCCAGGCGTCGCTGCCCCTCCCGGCCCGGTTGTCCGAGACTGAGGCGGTGCCCATGCCTCTGCCGGTTCCGCCAAAGACCGAGGTGGCGGAGGAGCAGCGCAGCGAGGCGTCGCTGGAGGAGCTAGCGCTGCCCGCGGAGGTCTGCGCCACTCAGATCGCCGACTCGAAGACGGTTGAGTCGACCGATCTCTTCTCCATTTCAAGTGACCTCGCCGGTTCGCGGCCACGCTGCGCCTCCTGCATCTGTGCCGACTCCTTCACGCTCGAGGTCGAGCAGGGCGAGGAGGAGGGGGCGGACCAGGCGATCCGAGCACCGCATCGCCAGCCCGTCTCCCCCCTGCCCCTGCCTGCCGCACGGTCTCCCCTGCGTGCCCTGCCAAGCCACTCGCTTCTGTCACTCCTCGCGCCTCTTCGCAGCGTGCCTGGCGGACTGTCGCCCGCGCCTGCCTTTCCACAGGCCGAAATCTTCATGGCCGAGGCGGACACGGCTTGCAGCTCTCTTTGGCCCCTCCTCATGGGTGCCCTCGTGGGGTGCTTGGGCGTCTCTGTCGTGGCTCTGAAGTGGAGAGGCTACAAGATGGACGGCAAGAAGCGCTCGAGGCGCGCCAAGGAGAACGAGGGCATGCAGCACCGCTGTGCTTGCCGCACTCAGATCTTCTTCTTCTTCTTCTTTGTCGCAATGGTCGGCCTGTGCGGCGTGACCTACGCGGCCTCGGCCGCGAGGTACACTCGGTGGCGCGGCGACATGCCGGGTCTCCTATCCGTCAACAGCATCGTACCCGAGTCATGTCCCGCCGACGCTGCTGGGAAGGCCCGGAGGCTGGTCGAGACGGGCCTCGTCGGCGCGGTAGCCTTGCATCTCGGCGGAATCGCCTCGCTCGAGCCATCCGCCGCCCATGTCCGCGTGGCCGCCGCCGCGCTGCTCGTCGGCAGGGTGGCCGCGTCTGCCATGGATCCATCAGGTGAGCCCCCTCCGCCCAAACCGCCGCCGCCGCCGCCGCCGCCGCCGCCGCTGTCGCCGCCGCCCTCGCCGCCGCCGCCGCCGCCATCGCCGCCCTCTCTACCGTCGCCGCCCTCTCTACCCCCACTCTCCGCCGCCACCGTCACCGCCGTTGCCGCCGCCGCCGCCTCCACCGGAGCCTCCGCCGTCGCCTCCGCCGTCGCCACCGCCGTCCCACCAGCAGCCCCAGTCGAGTTCCTCGTCACCGTGGGTGGCGGCAGCTTTCCGCTCGAGGTGTCGTGGAACCTGACGTGCAGCGGCGCGTTGATCGGCAGTGGAGGGGCGCCCTACTCCGGCACCCTGTCCGCGCCGCCCGGCGAGTGCACGCTCGACATGTACGACTCGTACGGCGACGGCTGGAACGGCGACGAGTGGGAGGGTGCGGGCTATACGTTCACGCTCGACTCCGGATCCTACGGCAGCGAGACGTTCATCCTCGCCCCTTTCCCCCCGTCCTCTCCGCCGCCGCCGTCCTCTCCGCCGCCGCCGCCTCTGTCGCCTCTGCCGCCGCTCTCCCCGGACTTTGTCGCCGCGGCGAGCGAGGCCGAGCTCCGCTCCCTGATCACGGAGGCTGCTGCCTCGCAAGCCGACGTCGCTATCTACCTGCCGTCCAGGGCAGACTTCAAGCTGGACAGCCATATCAGCTGCGCCTCCAACATCAATGTGACCGTCGCGAGCAGCGGCGAGGGCGCGACGCTCGACGGCCAGGAACAGACCGGGCTCTTTTACCTCGAGGGCGGCTGCAGTCTCATCCTGCGGGGGCTGACCCTCGTCAACGGGAGGGCGGCTGTTGGCGGCGCTGTGTACGCGAACGGCGCAGGTGAAGTCGAGATCATCGACTCGACGGTCAGAGATTGCTCGGCTGGCGGGTACGGGGTGCGCCACGTAGAGCTAGCCGCACTCCAGCAGCGCCGCACGGCAGCGAGGCGAGGGATAGAGAGGGCCACGGCTGCCTCACTCCGCTCCCTCCTCGCAACCGCAGTCCGGCGGCGTCGTCTGGGCGAGGGAAAGCGGTGCGGTCTCGATAATCGGCTCGAACGTGACGAGCTGCTCCGCTGGCAATGTGCGCCGCGTAGAGCTAGCCGGCCTCCAGCAGCGCCGCACGGCAGCGAGGCGAGGGATAGAGAGGGCCACGGCTGCCTCACTCCGCTCCCTCCTCGCAACCGCAGTCCGGCGGCGTCGTCTGGGCGAGGGAAAGCGGTGCGGTCTCGCTAATCGGCTCGAACGTGACGAGCTGCTCTGCTGGCTCTGTGCGCCGCGTAGAGCTAACCGCCCGCCCTGCGAGGGATAGAGAGGGCCACGGCTGCTTCACACCCCGCTCTGTCCTCGCAACCGCTGTAGGGCGGCGTCGTCCAAGCGCATGACAGCGGTGCGGTCTCGATAATCGGCTCGGTCGTGACGAGCTGCTCTGCTGGCGTTGTGCGCCGCGTAGAGCTAGCCGCATTCCAGCAGCGCCACACGGCAGCGGGGCGAGAGAGAGAAAGAGAGGGCCACGGCTGCCTCACACCCCGCTCTGTCCTCGCAACCGCAGTACGGCGGCGTCGTCCAAGCGTATGACAGCGGTGTGGTCTCGATAAGCGGTTCGACCGTGACGGGCTGCTCCGCTGGCTATGTGCGCCGCGTAGAGCTAGCCGCACCCCTGCAGTGCCTCACGACAGCGGGGCCAGAGGTAGAGAGGGCCACGGCTGCCTCACACCCCGCTCTCCTCGCAACCGCAGTCCGGCGGCGTCGTCTACGCGTATGAGAACAGCGGTGCGGTCTCGCTAATCGGCTCGAACGTGACGAGCTGCTCGGCTGGCGAGGCGCGCCGCGTAGAGCTAGCCTCCCTCCAGCAGCGCCGCACGGCAGCGGGGCGAGAGGTAGAGAGGCCACGGCTGCCTCACCCCGCTCTCTCCTCGCAACCGCAGCACGGCGGCGTCGTCTACGCGCGGGACAGCGACTCCCTCTCCATCGGGGGTGTCGACTTCATCGACAACAGAGCGGACGAGTCAGGCTCGGTGCTGTACCTGAACAATCTCCGCCAACGCTCCTCGATCAGCAACGCCTCCTTCACCGGCAACACCGCTGGCGACGACAACGACGGTGGCACGATACAGGCCATCAACTCGCCGATAGACTGGGACTGCCGCTTGGGCAGCTGGATGCCGACCAAGGGCTTTTTTTTTGGCGACTTCAGCGTCCCCGAGTGCAACCGTTGCCCCGCTGGCTACTTTGGGAACACGAGCGGCCTTTTCAACTCCTCCTGCAGCGGCCAGTGCACCCGGGGCCACTTTTGCGAGGCGGGGACCGCCGACCCCGAGCCCTGCCCGGTCGGCACTCGCATGCCCGCCCTCGGCGCGGCGAGCAGCGAGAGCTGCATCCCGTGCGCTCCGGGCCAGCATCAGCCCCTCGCGGGAGAGGAGGAGTGCCTTCCTTGCGCAGCGGGAAGCTTCTCTCCCGACGTCGGCCTCGCCGCCTGCGACCCTTGCCCGCGCGGAGGCTACTGCGAGGAGGCGGGCGCCGCCACACGCATGGTCTGGGAGCCGTGTCCCGCCGGCAGCTTCAACCCGACCAACGGTTCCAACTCGAGCGCCGCGTGTGAGCTCTGCCCTGCCGGGACTGCTAGCGCAACGCGTGGCGCGGAAAGCAGAGAGACGTGCGCGCCGTGTCGGCCAGGCACCGTCGCGGCCACGGCGGGCCTCTCGGAGTGCGCCAGCTGCGGCGGAGGGACCTACCAGAGCGTCACGGGCGCTACGGGCTGCCGCGCGTGCGAGCAGGGCAGCTACTGCGCCGAGGGCGCGGCGGCGCCGCTGCCGTGCGAGGCTGGCAGCTACTCGAGCGCAACCAACCTCACCGCCGCGGGCGAGTGCACGGCTTGCCCCGCCGGCAGCGCCTGCTCCACGGGCAGCATCCAGCCGACGCCGTGCTCGCCCGGCACGTTCGCCGCGAAAGAGGGGCAGTCCGAGTGCGAGTCTTGCCTTGCGGGCACCTCGTCGGATCAAGGCAGCGACGCATGCGACGCGTGCGAGGCTGGCCGTTACGCCGCCAACGCTGGCCAGGGCCTTTGCGTCCCATGTCCTCACCCCCTCAGCTCGGTCAACGGCAGCACGATCTGCTCGTTTTGCATGGACGACTACTACCTGCGGAACACCTCGGCCGACCCCGACGACATCTTCACCTCCCCAACCGAGTACTGCAAGCCGTGCCCGCCGAACGCTGTCTGTCCGGACAACATTACCCTTTCTTCCCTCGTCCTGCCGCCTGGCTTCTGGCGCGCCTCCGACGCCACCTCGGAGCTCCACCGCTGTGACTCAGAGACGTGCTCTGGTGGCTCCGGCCAGCCCTCCCGCCGCCGCCGCCTCACCGACGGAGATGACGACCCATACTGCGCCGCCGGCCACACCGGCCCGCTCTGCGAGGTCTGCGTCGCGGACTCGGAGTACTTTAGCTCTGCCGAGGGGCGCTGCGTCGCCTGCCCATCGACGGTTCGCTCCGCCGGCATCTTTGTCGGCTTTGTCATCGTCATCGCTGTGCTCGCCACCGCCTACGCTGGGCTCCGTCGCCTCCCCATCTCCCGCCGCCTCCGAAGGCGGGCCGCCCGCATCGAGTCCGCGGTCGGCCTGCAGCCCAAGTTCAAGGTCCTCATCAGCTTCTACCAGGTGAGCAGCATCCTCGGCCTCGTCTACGGCGTCCGCCTCGACGAGCACTTTACGCGCTGGCTCGACGTGCTCAAGCTGTTCAGCCTGGACCTATTCGGCGTTGCCATCCCCGGCCGCTGCATCGGAGCCATGAGCACGCGGCTGCTCGTCGCAGGCATCTGGCCGTACGCCGCTGTCGCCCTCGTGTCGCTCGCCATTGTCGCGGCGGCGGCGGTCCTCAACAACAAGCAGGCATTCGACCGCCAGCTGCTCGGCCGCCTCCTTTACTGGGCGATCTTCATCTTCTACCTGGTGCTTCCCTCCGTCTCGCGCTCCATCTTCAGCGCGAGGCTGTGCGAGTCCTTTCGCTACGACGACGCGACAGGCCAGCGCATCAGCTACCTGCTCGCCGACCCATCGCTCACGTGCGACGCCGGCCCAACATGGGACGACGAGACGAGCGGACTCGCGCCGTACTTTTGGGCCCTCTTTGCCCTCTGGCCCGTCCTCGTGCCGCTCGGCTTCTTGGCGCTGCTGCTCCGCGTCCGCAAGCCCGTGGCTGCGCAGCGCGCAACGCCGCTCTCTCGCGCGACGAGCTTCCTTTGGCGGGACTACTCTGCCAGCTTCCTCTTCTGGGAGGTGCTCGACCTGGTCCGCAAGATCTTCCTCACCTCGATGGTGCTCTTCATCGACCAGGAGTACGGCTCCCGCAAGCTGCTGCGCACCGTGGTCGCCGCCATCGTCTCGGCCATGTTTCTCACTCTGTTAGCGCTCGCCCGCCCCTACCGGCGCTCCGATGACCTCTGCCTCGCGTGCATCGCCAACTTGCTCCTCACCTGCTGCTTCGCGTCGGGAGTGGTCATCCAGGTCCGCGATGGCACTTGTCTTCCTCGCCGTCCCTCTCTCCCTCTCTCCGCGCAACCTCACACCACCCGCTCGCCCCTCCGCCGCAGCTGTGCGGCAGCACCGCGTACGAAGACATGTGCTACGACCTCGTTGGCTACAAGACCTCGCGCGGCGCCACCACTTTTGTCGTCGTCCTCACCGCGGTCATGCTCGCCATCTCGCTAGCCGTCATCGTTGTATTGGCGGTCAGCGCCTCGAGGGCGAAGACCATGCGGCTCGTCTCTTCGAAGCGCGAGCCGATGCGCGACGGCATCACCCTCGCCGAAGGCCAGCAGTGGCACCTCTTCCTCAGCCACGTCTGGAGCACGGGCCAGGTTTGCCGCCCCCTTGTCCCCACGGCTTTGCATGTGCGGAGAAAGGTACCTGACCTGCTTTCCTCCCTTGTAGGACGCTGTCGCCGTCATCAAGAACGAGCTGCAGCAGTTCCTCCCCGGCTGCGAGATCTTCCTCGACATCGACGACCTCAAGAACATCGGAGAGCTGGAAGCGTACATTCGTCGCTCGCAGGTGGTGCTCTGCTTCCTGTCGCGGGGCTACCTGCGCTCGACGAACTGCCTGCGAGAGGTCCGCGCCGCGCTGGAGATGACCAAGCCGCTCGTGCTCGTCCACGAGGCAGACCCGGACAAGGGCGGAGGCACACTCGCCGAGCTGCGATCCGAGTGCCCCGAGGAGCTGCGGGCCGCCATTTTTGACGCCGGCTGGCCGATGGCGGTGTGGCATCGGATCGAGGCCTTCCAGCACGTCTCGCTCAAGGTCATCGCCGAGGCGCTGCTGCTGAAGACGCCAAGGTACGCGGGAGAGGATGAGCTGCCCCTGTGCATCCCTGGCGAGGTCCGAGCCGTCGACCTCGCCTTCCCCAAGCCGGTGGTTCTCTGGGCCTCGACTTTGAACGCCGGGGCGCGAGATCTCGCCGATGCGGTCGCGGCGGCCGTGGCTGGTGGCGTCTCGATCACCGACGCAACGCCCTCGCGCCTCTCCTCGCTGCCTCGCTCGAGCGTCGGCGTCGGCGACGGCGACGAGGCGACGCACATGCTGCTCTACCTGAACAGGTCGACGTGGGTCGGCGATGGCGCCGAGGCGCTCGCAGAGCAGGTGCGCGCCGCGCGCGAGGCCAGGCTGCCCATCGTCATGGCGCACGAGAACGACGCTGTCCGCAGCGGCTGCATCTTTGGCCACTTTTTCGAGGTGACGCCGCGCGACCTGATCGCCGATGGGCTGTACCACGACCTCGCCGTCGGGTGCCACTCGGACCCGCACCGGCAGGTGTCGCTCGCCCTGCTCGCAAAGGCGCTCGGCGCGACCAAGCAGACGGCTCAGTCGCGCATGCACCGAGTCACCGCCCTCGCTTTAACGCTCCGCGGCTCCTCTTCAATGACGGAGCCGTCGAATGGCGACGACGTTGTGGAAGCGTCAGCGACGCAGACCGTCTGAACGGAAGATCTCCGCTGCACAGCACACACTCCGCGCGCACACACAGCCATACCGCCTGGTGTCCAGTCGCTGGCACTACGCTGCGTCGCGTGGCCTGTCTAGTCACACGTCTACATTTGAACATGAACATGACATGATTGTGATGACCAAGCAGCTGACTGTCGCACAGGGCCGACTCAGGTCTCAGCACTCTGCACTCAATAATTTGCTTGTTCTCACTTGTTTTCGGTTTCGACTTTTCTTCATATCTGGGGCCTCCGGCGCCAGTGCGAAGTCTAGTCGCCCTAAACCACCCCGCCCTCCGGGCATACTCCGAACTCCCACACGACAACACACGCGCGGCCGGCGCCTCTCATGCCCTTCTCCACGCACACCGCGTGAAAACTGCGCGTACGTCCCCGCGCGCACGCAAACACGCGCAGCGCCATTTCAGAACTGTGCCATGTGCGTCTGCCCTGTGCTGGCGCCCCATGGCCGTCCCGCGCCGCCCGCACCAGCTGCGCGCCCCTCGCACCACCAGAGCAAGCCGCATATCCACTCACGCCGACGCGCGCGCCGCAGCACACCTCACCAGCACACCTGCGCCTTTTTGCGCCCTGTGCAGGCTCTGCAGACTGCTTCTGGCATCCCACAAGCGGCTGTACTAGGACGCGCCGCGAGTGCGACGGCACCGCGCAGGCCCAGGCGCGCACGCACGCCCGCACGCGCGCTCGCTCATCCGCCCAGTCTGCTGTGCACAGCCTGTCAGCCTGCCTGCACACACAGCATACAGCACCATGTGCACGCATACGCTTAGACGCAGCCCGCACCCCACTACAATAGCCTGCCTCACGCCTCACCACGCCGTCTCGCGCACACCGCCAGCAGCCCGATCAGAGAAACTGCAGCGCGCGCCTCTGCACGCCTGCAGCTTCTCTGCATTCTGAGACCTTCTCAATCCACCCCGCCGCCGCGCCTCCCCGGGCACACACCGCAGCAGTGAAGATGTGAGTCGAAGTATGGGATATCGACCGAGCCCGCGCCTGCCGCACAGGTTTCCGTTTCTTTTTACTGCCATAAGCATAAAAAGAAAAGCGAAAATCGTTTAACAAACAGCGACGACCAGCAGCAACGATTTACAGCAGCGTCCTGCCGAGTGTGTGTAGCACCGACGCAGACGCACCCCAGGCACTACACTACGACGGCTAGGCAGACCTCACCAGTCCGATAAGGATCAACTGGAAGGTTGAACCTCGAGCTTAGACAGAACGGGCGCGACAGACTCCAGGAGAGGGGAGAAGAGCCCAGGGTGGGGAGAGGAGAAGAGCCCAGGGAGGGGGGACGAGAAGAGCCCAAGGCGGCCTCCCTCTCCCTCCCCTCCCACCGGGCCTCCCTCTCCCTCTCCTCCCACCGGGCCTCCCTCTCCCCCTCCTCCCGCCAAGCAATGACAGTCTCGAGGGGCCTGCCGCTGGAAGGGGCAAGCCAGCGGCACGAGGGCTTCAGCCACACAGCTACCAAGGGAACGCCACCCACACAAAGCACCAAAATTAGGCATACCCCCCGGCGTAGTGTCCCCCGCTATGTGTCGCCGTTTGTCGGGGCACGCTATCCTGTGCAGCCGGGGGTGCGTCGAACCTTCCATCACCCTGGGAACGTCCGGGTGTTGGAAGTAAAGATAGGTCGAATTACTTTGACGAAGTGATGGCTGATTTATTGTGGCACTTCTCTCTAGCCGACGACTTATCCCTGATGGAAGAGGATGAGGCTATAATCTAATGGATTGTGTGGAAGAGAGTTCAGCTCACACTTTTATAATTTTTCTATCGACTGGAATAATCTAAGAATAATAAACTTTTTTTATTCCTCCCCTTATGAATCTCCTTTATTACGGGATTCCCCTTTGCGGCTCTTAATCCCTACTACTCATGGGGATGGCGTTGAGGAAGGCGCCGGCGCCATCCTGGCTCACCGCCACGAAGCGGACTGCCTCCCGCCAAGCCTCATGCTTCGCCCGCTCCCTGCCCTTGGCCTGCGCCTTGCCCTCCCCCGTCTTCCTCCTCCCGCGGCATGGGAGAGCCGACCTTGCGGAGCCCTCCTGCCTACGCTTAGCTCGAGGGCGAGGGCGCGCCAGTTCCTGTTGTGGACCACCGTCGTGGAGCGCCGCTGCGCCTGGTGCAGGAACTCGTTCTTGGACGTGAACTCGGGGAGGTCCAGCAGCTCCTTCTCCGGGACTAGAGTGTGCGAGCACGCCTTCCTCTCAGCCGGCTCCGGCGGCCGCGCGGAGGCGCGCAGCTTCTCGCCCTCGTCGGGCTCGTCCCACGGCTCCACCTCGATCTCCGGGGGCCTGCCGTCGTACCGCCAACCAGATCAAAGTACTCCGGCTTTGTGTTGGCGTCCAACATGCGCCAGTCCGCCGCGATCTCGCGGTGCTCCTTCTTGAGCTTGTCGTGCGCCGCCCGCAGCTCGTCGAAATCGGAGCCCGGCGCCCTGCTCACGTCGAGGTCGCGGAAGGGAGCATGCAGCTGGCGCATGGGCCCGGCGACGAGCGCCCACGTGCCGATCCACGCCGGCTCGCGGATGTCGACGGCGCTGGTGAGGCCCATGCCGCCCATCTTGACGGGCAGGCGCGCCTGCTTGCGCGCGCGTTCCCAGCGCGTGCCGGCGGCGCCGACCCGCGCCCCGCCGACGAGCTTGTATAGCGCCGTGTCAATCATCTCGTCGTGCTTCTTAGCGGCGGGGAGGGTGACTGACGGCGGCATGGCGCGAAGGAAGAAGGTGAGCGTCGTGTTGCTGCAGAAGCGCAGCAGGACCTGCATCACCTGCTGCGCCGTGTGGATCTCCTTCGTGTCGCGCAGCTTGAGGATGCCTTCGAGAGGTTTGAGCGCCCTCTCGACTCTCGCGACGAGCTCCGTCTTTTCCGCCACTCGTCGTCTCCGAGGTACGCCCCGAGCACCCGGATGCCTCGCAGGGTGCCGCCCGCGTACTTGCCGTCGGGAGGCGCCGCCGGCGTGCCCCTCACGTTCGGGTAGGCGCGCACCGCCTTGAAAAAGAATTTCACAGGGCGGCCGCACGACACGATTCGCGCGACACCGACAGGCGAGGCGCGGGCGACGGCTTCCTCAGAATTTTACCAAGTCTCCCTCGCACGACACTGGGCACGGGACGCGAGGCCGAGGGCGGCGAGGCACTTAGCTCCTGAAAAGAGCTGGCAGCTGCGCCTTCCTCCCCAGGGAGTTAATCAACAGGAAGAGCTTCAAACCTTCACACGAGCCACGCAAAATAAACGACGTCTTATCGGTCCGGGTGTGCCCCCCCTGCCTCTCGCGCCTCTCTCGCGCCAGATCTCTCCGCACATTATTTTCCGAGCGGGGCAGCCACCCACGACGCGCCACACACACTCTCTCCGGGCAGCTGAAAGCGCAGCAGCCGCTCACCATCTCCTCACCACCGCCCAGGAAAGCCCTCTGCGGGGTGCGGCGTCGGCTCAATGTGGTCGCTCAGCTCGTCGTCGAGGTCGATGTGTCGCACCTGCGGTGGGGTGGGGAGGCGGAGGTTTGGCGCGCGTGGACCGTGCCACTCTCACCGTCCAGCGAGGCAGAACGAGCTGAGCGCCAGAGGCGTGTCGAACTCGTACGAGGCAGTGCAGCCGGCTGTGCCGAGGGGGGGCTGGGTGGGCGGTAAGCCGTCACTGCCCGGCGCTGCTTGCAGCGCTCTGGGTGGTAGTGGCGGCGCTCCAAGAGTGGTGCTCTTGGGAAGAGGTTCCTCCTTTCTGCTCCCCCCCCGCAAGGCGCGAGACACACACCTGCCGCCCGCACCGCCTCCTCGCTCTTGTCGTGCAGCCAGTGGGATGCCTAACCCAGCGGACCGTGATTCTCTACCGCTGAATAAATGAGTCGGACACGCCAAACGAGGGGTGGGGGAATAAATAAATAATTAGAGCAGGCATCATCCGACATCCCTTACAGATGGGCGACGCACGAACACAGAGGCACAGCGCGCACCGCCCGCCCCGCTCGCAGGGGAGGGAGCGGTGAAGAAAGAAAGAAAGAAAGAAAACGGGCACCGGAAGGGGTCGATGACACACGGGACGAGAGACTTCTTTTCTACAGGTGAAACCACCCACCGGGGATGCCTAACCCAGCCCACTTCTTCTCTTCCACCTGGTGGTGCGATGGGCTCCCTCCCGCGGGGAGATGTCAGCGCGCTGTCAGCCCTCTGTAGCATCAGGTGCAAAGGAAAGAGTGGGCTGTGCCTAACCACAGCGAGCGTCGCACCGTGCCTCGACGGCCACGCCACGCCCTCCCTCTCTCTCGTGCCTCGCCGTCGGGTGTGCGCGGCTGGGGCGCGGCGGGCGGCGGGCGTCCCGTCTTTCTTCCGCGCGCTGCGTGTGCGCGCTCTACAGCGTCGCGCCGACGAGCCGCCCGCCAGCCAGCTCCATCGCCGTGCTCTCGGCGTCCACGTCTTCAAGGGAGGCGTACTCGAGGGCGAGGCCTTTGAAGCTGTCTTTCGCGGCGGCGAAGGTGCCTTGGCCCGCCTCGAGCGTCGCCTCCCCACGCGCGACCCCCTCCACCGCCTCCTGCGCTCGCCGCCACTCCTCCTGCGAGAGGGAGACACGCAGGCGGGAGGTCACGGCGGCTCGGTAGCCGCTAGCAGGCGTCGGCTGTCTGGGCGGACCTCGGTCTCAAACGGCTCGCGTTCGATCCGCTTCCACGCTCGCTCGTCGCATATCCACTGGCACAGCCCTGGCAGGGCAGCGATGCCGAGGAGACGCTGGCCCGTCTTCTGCTGGTGACGGCGCCAGAACAGCGACTCGAGCTCGGTGCGTAGCGGTGTGCTCGGCAGAGGCCGCTTGGTCAGCGAGAGCGGCAGGGTGGAGACGGCGCGGCGGTACGACGGGGTGGTAGCGCGGCGATACATCGCCACAGAGAGGTGGCTGACTGGTACCCATCCGACTCGCGCATAAAGAATTTTCCCCCACCGAAACAGAGTAAAGGCGAGTGAGTGCTCTCCAATCGCCCGGCCTCTGGGTGCGCTTCTTAGCTCCCCGGCCCTGCGGTTGGGCTAGAGACGACCCAACACTTCATGTGTGTGTGTGAGTGAGTGAGTATACTCAAGCAAGGGGAAGAAGATAGGAATTTTCTGGATTGTTGTGCATGGAAGAATTCGAACGCCGTATCCCTCACCGCCTCCTTTGGATCCCGTCAAGATCACTGAAGCCACTGCTCTCGCCCCGCCGCCAGGCCCGCCGCCCCTACGCCTGGATCCCCTATCGCTCACGGGGCCCGCCTGTTGCTCACGCGAGCGACGCCTATTGCTCACGGAGCCCGCCCCGCCCGCGCCACTCCCACCCACCATGCGATGCGCTTCCCCGCTCGCTCGCCAATCGCGTCTCCTTATTCATAGGCCCTGATGATGATTCGGTTTCTCGTCTTTCACCTCGCGCTCGTCCACGGCCTCGCCCCCATGCCGCAAGAGTTGCTGGGCGTTGGAGAGTTGCTGGGCGAAGAGTCTCGTCTCACCTCCCAGCTGAAGGCACTTCCGCTGCATCGCGATCCGGTGCGGCACCGCCGCGATAGGGGATCCAGGCGTAGGGGCGGCTAATTTTGCTAGAAGAATCACATGTGGCACCGGCTCTACTCTAGCGACGTGAACGAAATGTTCGGTCGCCTCGACGACTTCCTCGGCTCCGACCGACTCTGGCTTCGGCATTCCGACTCTGGCTTCGGCTAGAGTTGACAACAGACAAGCTGCCGAGCCCAAGCCACTAGGTGTGCTAGATTTCTTATTGGCTCTTTGAATAAATAAAATTCTCTCGGAGTGAACTCCACAGTGATGAGTGTGCTTGCGCGCCCCCCGCGATGCAGCGAGGTGTCTCTTGGGCCGCGGGGCTGTGCGTTTGTGTTTGAGCTTTGAGACAGACACCGATTTCCCGGATAGAGAATTATAGAGCATGGTGAGATGTCGCGTGAATGAGAGAATTGAGTTTTACTTTATGAGTTTTGCGGCGTGCGGCCTTTGTGCTTTCCTTTGACATTGAGCCCCCCGCCCGGACACAGCACACAGGGCGCGGTCCCCGCGGGGCGCGGGCTCCCGCGCAGGGCGGCAACCCCTTCTACAGCCGCCTCGCCCCGCCCCCCCCGCCCGCCTCCTCTCATCTTAAGTCTTACGTCTTCGAGTTCCTTCGCGGCGTGTCCGCGGGAGACCTAGCTCTCTCGGCGTCACTCTTGATAACTTGTGACAGGCACAAGATTGAAGAACTACGGCTCTATAATGGACACACTAAAATGGAAAGGGATTTGGACCAATACAGCATGCATGTGCCTGTGCCTTTTGGTAAGCGCCGGCTTCGAAAACATCATGGCTTGCGCGCTCCTACCTCACCCGCCCGTCGGAGCGCGCGAGCGCGGTGCGCTCCGCGGCGCTGCGCAGCCGGGCGCTTGCCACAGAGAGCCACTCCTCCCCTCCCGCCTCGTCGAGCCTCCGCACCCGCACCTCCTCCTCCCCCCTCACCACCCCTCCACCCGCCGCGCGAGCACCCGCGCCGCCACCCACGCGCGCCGCCCGCGCCGCCGCCCTCTCCGCTCGAGCCTATCTGAAATTCATCCAATTAACATCCGAAGTCTAGCTCAAAAAAAAAGAACGATTTGCAGCACAAGGCGCAATGGAGACAGGTCGTTGGCAACGCTCTCAAATTGTTCGGGCTCCACAATCGGTACGAGCCTCACCTCTGGGCTCTGGCCCCTCGTCAGCTGGCTCGAGGCCATCACGCCGGCTCTCCGTCATCTCCGCATGCTTCATCTCTATACCGATGCGGTGCGTGTGCGTGTGCGTGTGCGTGTGCGTGTGCGTGTGCGTGTGCGTGTGCGTGTGCGTGTGCGTGTGCGTGTGCGTGTGTGTGTGTGTGTGTGTGTGTGTGTGTGTGTGTGTGTGTGTGTGTGTGTGTGTGTGTGTGTGTGTGTGTGTGTGTGTGTGTGCGCGTGCGTGCGTGCGCGTAGGGCGCATGCGTAACGACGCTGCTAGAGATGCCTTTCGGGGCCCAGAGATAAAACATCTGATGCCATGCGTGACCTAGTAGTGTCCCCAGCTATGGGCGTGTCCACGTTGGAGCCAGGTGTGGTGTGGGCGCGAGAATAGCTCCGCCGTTCATGGAGGCAACCGATGCGAGTCGACTGGTGTGTGTCGTCGTGGTTTCGTATCAAGAATACTAACTCACTCACACCGTATACGGTACTTTCGTTTATTTACCCACACACTAAGCGAGTATCCCCAGGCCGCGCAGCGAAGCGAAAAAAGAGGATAATAGGGGGTACCTACCTGTTGCAGGGTCCTCTGGGGCGGTCAAAACCAGTCACCGTGGGCGAGTGTGTGTTCTCACACCCACAGACCCCCTATCTGGCTAGGAGCCGGAACCCTGCCGCCAGCGTGAGACGGCTGTCGCAATGGAGACAGGTCGCCTCCGCGAGTTCTGCAGGCGCGTTAGCAGGCTCGTCGGCCTGCCCGGCAGCCCGGAGACCGGCACACGGGTTGCCTCCGCCGCCTCCGCCGAGCCTCAGAACTCGTCGGAGGCGGCTTCGCGAGCCAAGGACCGGTTTCCCGGGATGCTCAGCCGCGAGGCACGCAGCGTGTGTGCCGACGGCCTTCGCTCCTCCTGCGATCGCCTTTGCCGCCTCATGAGAGGACGGCCCTTCTCGGTCGTGCTCCTGACGGTGGCGTGGGTGGTGCTCCTCACGATGGCAGCCGTGCTTGTGCCGCCGGCCGAGCTGTGCGTCGGCTCGGACGAGGCGTGCCTCAACTGGGAGTCGTACCTCACGGTCTCTCTCCTTCTCACCGCGGTGCTGCTGATGGCGAATGGCTCGCCCCCCGACCTCGTCATGCTCGCTCTCACCGTGGCGCACACCTCCCCCAATCTCCCCATATCTCCCCATATCTCCCCATATCTCGAGCCCTAGAGGCCGTATACCTCCCCATCTCTCCCCATCTCTCCCCATCTCTCCCCATAGGCGCTGCTGCTCTGCGGCGTCATCTCCGACGCGCAGGCGTGGGCTCCCTCCCTCCCGGCTGCCTCCCGGCTGCCTCGCGGCTGCCTCTCGGCTGCCTCCCGGCTGCCTCTCGGCTGCCTCCCGGCTGCTTTGCGGCTGCCTCTCGGCTGCCTCCCGGCTGCCTCCCGGCTGCCTCCCGGCTGCCTCTCGGCTGCCTCCCGGCTGCCTCCCGGCTGCCTCGCGGCTGCCTCTCGGCTGCCTCCCGGCTGCCTCTCGGCTGCCTCCCGGCTGCTTTGCGGCTGCCTCTCGGCTGCCTCCCGGCTGCCTCCCGGCTGCCTCCCGGCTGCCTCTCGGCTGCCTCCCGGCTGCCTCCCGGCTGCCTCTCGGCTGCCTCTCGGCTGCCTCTCGGCTGCCTCTCGGCTGCCTCCCGGCTGCCTCTCGGCTGCCTCTCGGCTGCCTCCCGGCTGCCTCTCGGCTGCCTCTCGGCTGCCTCCCGGCTGCCTCCCGGCTGCCTCCCGGCTGCCTCTCGGCTGCCTCTCGGCTGCCTCCCGGCTGCCTCCCGGCTGCCTCTCGGCTGCCTCCCGGCTGCCTCCCGGCTGCCTCTCGGCTGCCTCTCGGCTGGCGAGGTGCTCCCACGCCTCTCGGGGTTTTTGTCTGGCCGAGTCTGCTGGAGCGAGCCTCGGCGAGACTGCGTCAGCTGTTCCCACAGCAGGCTGGAAGTACCTCGCCAGCTCTCGGCTGCCTCTCGGCTGCCTCTCGGCTGCCTCTCTTGGCTGGACCTCGGCCATGTCTCGGCTGCAGGCGTGGGCGGGTTTCTGCTCCTCTTCGGTCCTCTCCATCGGCGCGCTCTTCGTCGTCGCGCGCGCACTCGAGGAGACGCCGCGTATCTCCCCACATCTCCCCATATCTCCCTGTATCTCCCCGCACCTCCCCACATCTCCCCGCATCTCCCCACATCTCCCCACATCTCCGCACATCTCTTCACACCTCCCCACACCTCCCCATACCTCCCCACACCTCCCCACACCTCCCCACATCTCCCCATATCTCCCCACACCTCCCCACATCTCCCCACATCTCCCCACACCTCCCCGTAGGAGACGCGCGCTGTCGAGCTGATGCTGCGGCCGCTGCTCGGCCGTCCCTCGGGCCACGTCACCGCCCTCCTCCGCCTCTGCTTCCCGGCCGCTGCCCCGTCGGCCTTCCACAGCTGGGAGCGACTCATTGAGCATTCATACTTCCTGACGATGATTAGGTCGCTGTCGTGTCGGCTTTCCTCAACAACACGCCCATCGTCGCGATGCTGCTGCCGGTGAGACGTGGGCGGCGCGGTGCAGTACCCTACCCAACCCGGTACCCGAACCCAATGGAATGCCATAGGTGAGCGAGACGTGGGCGGCGCGTTCGAACCTGTCGGTCAAGGTGGGTCTGTATGCAGAGAGGTGAAGACACAGTCCTACCAGTTCATTGGGTTCGGGTACCGGGTTGGGTTGGGTACTCTATGCAGAGAGGTGAAGACAGTCCCACCAGCGACTGACACCAGGCTCTGACAAGAGGCCGAGAAGGGGGGGGGGAGCGAGTCAGAGTCAGAGTCAGAGTCAGAGAGCAGAGGAGAGCCATGCTCGACACAGACACACTCACAAGACACTCCGCCAGCTGGCACTGCCACCCACACCCCGAGGGAGCGTACGGCACTGCGCTACTCGGGGCCGCGGCCCTTGGTCGCCCCCCCCCCCCCCCCCACCCACCCAAGCACCCGAGGCGCCAAGGGCACAAGCAACACTACCCACACAGCAACTACAACACTGGCGTTGCCCCTCGCCTTCCTCGCCGAAGCGATTCGTATCATCATTCTTGTTGCGGCGACTAAGGTGCTTCTGATGCCACCAAGGTGCTTCTGATGCCGCTTTCGTTCGCGTCGATGCTGGGAGGCATGTGCACGCTATCGGCGCCTCGACC